GAAGCAAAATAGGGCTGTTTCGCGTACCTCTTGCGTACTACGCTCTGCCCATTCCGGGCATTTGAGCACTATTTTTTTTTTTTTTTTTTTTTTTTTTTCCAGTACAGTACAATTTTATTGAAACAAAGAAAAATGATGGCACCTATGTACAGGGGATGGCCCACGCCTGGTATAAAGTAAACGTAAAAGAGAAAAAAAGTAGTACAGTGAAATCGATAACAATAGTTCAGTTCCCACACAATACCGCTCCTGAGCCGGATCAGACCACAATCCTAGCCTCGGCAACCGCCAGTGCGGCAGAAGCAGAGACAAGGCGGTGGCAGTGGATCGGTCGGCGGGCACCCCGAAGACAGGCAACACTTGCACGCAGGAGGGCGAAGCTCAGCCGGGCACGAATCCAGGCCATGACAGAGGAGTAGGCTTCACGAGTCTTCTCGGACAACATGGAGGCAATGCGCTTGTAAAGAGAAATAGCTGAATTGCCCATGCCACCATGTGCCGAGAAAACCACAGGGATGAAGCCTGCCCGCTCAACGTGCTGAACCCTTTCTCCGTAGGCCCGGCGCTTCTCACGTTCGTGTCGCTTGTAGCAGGATGCCGCAGATGATGAGCGATTTGATGGAGCGTGCGGGTTGAAGACCCGGACGTCCAGGTAGCTCCGTTCAAACCGGCCGCCATAGATACCGCTCGCGACAACATCCAGCCGACCCAGGTCATCCCGCACAGCTGTGCGATAGCGCAAGTTCTCCCCGGTCAAGGGCTGGAGGGTTGGCTCCACGTTGACGTCATGCGCCACACGACCGAGCAGCTGCGCCGTGAGATCCCTCACCTCATTGTGCCGCATGATGATGAAGCCGCCCGTAGCGCAGGAGAGAGCATGTGCAACAGTGAACGTTGCACCACACGAGCAGGTTGATGGCAGTCGGTCCGGGTGCCACCCATAGCGAAGCGCCAGCCCATCACGAAACTGGGCCTTGGACAGGGTAAAGCCATGACGTGCTAGTGGGCGGCATGTAAGCCAGCTTGAGGCTCCTTTCTCGCTGCCAAGCTCCATGGCACGCTTGACTGGGGGAGATGCATCATTTGCGAGCTCCATGGCACGGTGGGCCACCGACCTTCGCTGCTCACGCCGTACCTCACCTTTGCGGTCCCTGACCTCAGCCAATGACTCTCCCAGGATACCAGCCTGAGTGTTCATTTGATGGACTAGCGCAGTAGTGATGTGCCGAGAAGCCGAGTACTGACTGGAGAGAGATGTAGGATCCGCCAGGCCAAGACCACCATGGCGACAAGGAAACCCAATGAGGATGCGGTATTCTTGGTCGATGTGTTGGCCAGTCAGCACTGGGATCAGCTCTGTAGCGATGTGACGTTCCAGGGGTCCCAGCTGTTCAGCCGCCCCAGCTAGTGTTCGACAGATGAAGGTCCACTTGTGCTGAAGGCCTCTGGTGAAGGCACTGTATGCTGCCTGAGGTTGCGTGCGTGCATACTCTGTGAGGATAGCTACCTCAGCAAGCCATTCCTCACACTTCTTCTGGACAAAGTGCTGGCAGTACTCCGGTGTGCCGATGGCAGCGCCAAGGTATCGATGGCCTTCACCGGTGATGCGGATCCCTGAGCCGGTGAACACTCTTCGAGCTTCATCCAGACACTCAGGTTTGACTGGCAAAATTTGAGCACTATTGCAGGTTAAGGCGCACTGCCTCTGTTTTCTCTAAATCATATCTTTACGAACATTCAGTCAGGAACTGAAGGCATTCTTTTTAAACTTTAAAACGTTTCTGATGCCTTACAAGCTCCATTTCTTTGTCTCTGCGTTAGCGTTTTCCTAGTTTAGCCTTTTTGCGGCACATGCTTGTGTACAGCACTCCTAGGAGTCACTAGAGCAGCACAATCAGTCTGTCTTTGACCCATAGCACAATCAGTCTGTCTTTGACCCATAGCACAATCAGTCTGTCTTTGACCCATAGCACAATCAGTCTGTCTTTGACCCATAGCACAATCAGTCTGTCTTTGACCCATAGCACAATCAGTCTGTCTTTGACCCATAGCACAATCAGTCTGTCTTTGAACCATAGCACAATCAGTCTGTCTTTGACCCACCAACACTAGAGCAGCACAATCAGTCTGTCTTTGACCCACCAACGCGTTGCACCTGGCGGTGATTTCATTCTATCGTGTTTTTTTTTGTTTTGTTTTTTCTACAAAATCCACATATCTCCAGACACTGGGGTGAATAATGGAGTGTGGTGGTGGGGCCCATTATTAAGCTCCGCCACCAGAGTGTCGAATTGTAATAATATTAATCATCTCGTTTGAAACGCTCTGCACTTGGTGCATCAAGCATGCTAGCACTTTCCAGGCAATTCTTCGCAATTTACTTCTTTGAAATAAATTGATGATGCACCCTTCTAGCTGCTGTACTAGGCCTTGACAGATTATGCTAATAGTTTCGTGAAATTATGCTTTTCGCATTGCTGAAAAAATTGCAGAATTATGCTATTTTTATGCTAAAAGTTATCATAATATGCCGCATTATGCTCACAGATGCTGCTAATATCATTATAATGGTCCTGTGCAAAATAACAGGGGAATTGTGTTGTAGAGGGCGTTGTACTGTAGTAGCAAAAGTTCAACGGGGTCAACGCACCGTCCGACCTAGCTACGACCAGGGAGTATTGTACTACTACTCCCTGGCTACGACCGTCACTGATTGTAGTGGATTGGACATGTTCTCAAGGGAGTCGTAAACCTACGACTTCCTGGTGCATCTACTTGTACTGGTACTTGTACTTGTAGAACATGTACAGCTGTATGGAATTTGATGCGAACAGGCGGATTATTCCAATTTTATGCGATTCGTATGCAATTTGCCTCGAATTATGCGATTATTCGATTTTGGTAGGAATTATGCGAAAATCATGCTAGCATAATTTGTCAAGGCCTATGCTGTACTCAACGACCGATGAATGCCCATGTTGGCGTATCTTTATTTTCACTGCCTTTTAGAAGCGATCCTGTTGGACAGTTCGGCAAAAATAGGCTACACAATGTACACCTCGCTCTGTGTATTTTGCAAGTTTTCACTACAATGTATCATCATTCGCCTGAGATGGAATCATATTGTAGTTACTCGCGTATATGAGGACATAATATTATTTCCTTGGTCGTCATGCACAGTAGCATTACAGACGCTAGGGACAGCGGCATGCTTGTAGCACCGCCTCTCTTTCTCTGTTTCTCTGTTTCTCTGCCTTCTTCTCCCTCTCTGTTTCTCTCTCTCTCTCTCTCTCTCTCTCTCTCTGTGTGTCTCTCTTTCTCTCTCTCTCTCTCTCTCTCTCTCTCTCTCTCTCTCTCTCTCTCTCTCTCTCTCTCTCTCTCTCTCTCTCTCTCTCTCTCTCTCTCTCTCTCTCTCTCTCTCTCTCTCTCTGTCTGTCGCTCTCTCTCTCGCGCGCTCTGTCTCTCCCTTTCTCCGTCTCTCTCTGTCTCTATCTGTCTCTATCTACGTCTCTATCTGTCTCAATCTACGTCTCTTTCTGTCTATCTCTCTGTCTCTCTGTCTCTGTCTCTGTCTCTCTCTCTCTCTCTCTCTCTCTCTCTCTCTCTCTCTCTCTCTCTCTCTCTCCCTCTCTCTCTGTCTCTCTCTCTCTCCCTCTCTCTCTGTCTCTCTCTCTCTCTCTCTCTCTCTCTCTCTCTCTCTCTCTCTCTCTCTCTTCGCATATTCGGAATATTCTAGAATATCGACACCAAAAATAATATTCGAAAGCAGGCAGTAACATTCGAATATACTTTTACTTGAAAATGTGTGCTACATTGCTGTATTGTGCAGCTCCGATCATGATTTCTTCTGTAGTGTTGGGGTTGAGAGGGAAGACTTTATATTCTGAGAACTGTCAAGCTTGTTCTTTGGGCAAATTGGTCAAATTCACTTTTTCATTAGTGAATCTTACTATCCACATTATCTGTAGACAACATATCTGTTGGGTCAGATTGAGTGAAGCGACTGAGCCACTTCAGAAGAATATAGAATACTCGTTCGTCCGCCAAAGCAATATTCGAGGGAATATTTCGTGGAAAAATAACCATTTGTTGCATCACTGAAGTGGCAGCTCCTGCACGAACTGAAGTTACAAAACCACCCTCCGCCTTATAACCTGATAACCTGCTGCTATTCACAAACATGTTAAAGCACGGCTACTACTAGTACCGGTACTACCATTATACCGAAATACATGTACATGTACGTGTACATCAACAAAGTTGGAAGGTTTGTCGGGGGGGGGGGGGTGTAACACAATACTATTATTAGGAATATTTTTAACTAATCTCAGATTGGAAAATATCTCCATTGCACACCGTACATAACAGGCTCTTAGCTGCATCGAATAGATTTCCTAATGCCAATATTTCGCCCATTGGGCTTCATCAGGGCATCCATGCAAAAGAAGAGGCAAGCGCCAACATAATATACTCAGTATAGAGAAAATACTAGAGACATTCACACCTACAAAAAGTGTCTCAGATAATCTCAGATTGAGTAAATAATCTCACCTACATGTATTGTTCATTACCAGGGAGTTCGAAATCCTCCCTGGTAATCACACTATTTTATATGGTGCTCCTTGAGCCAGCCATTTATGGCTTGCAGGCGTGCATTCACCGAGCATTCAGCAGCAATGCACTCTATGATCTACCCGACATGGATTGACTGTGAGAACCAGGCGCAGGACACTGTCAAGAGAACATACAATGTAGCTTGGGAGGTGAAGTGGGTGAGGGGATGGGGGGGGGGGGGGGGCTACAGGAAACCACCACACCCCGGACCCATGTGCTGACATGGCTAGCAGGTCCAGCCACAGCCGCCATGGCCATGTATAAGGGTGTATAAAGAGCCTGGTCACCTAACTCTATTTTTGCAATGTTAAAACTGGATTATATAAGCCGACACTGTAAGGAACAAAAATCTTACAAGAAAAACCCAACGTTGTTTCACGTCTTACCGGACTAAGCGGTCGGTCTCGAAACAGCCACTGCACAGTGATGTTGTCATACCCATCACGTGACCAAGCCTTGCACGCCAGCCTAGCCTCCTTTCCAGCCTGGGCCTTGAGCGTGCGACTGAAGGGCTCCACCAACACGCCAAGATTCTGTGCCGGGTTCACCACGTCTGACGGGTGAGCGGTGACGGATTTGGGCGTCGCGAGAACGGGACATCGGGCCAGAGAGGGGGTGGCAATAGGACAGCATGAAAAGAAAAATCAAAATCAGTTCAGGAAAATGAATCAGACTCCGCACATATTAACGTCTGAGACAAAAAGGAACAACCAGAGATGATCTGCCACTGGCCCAGTGGGTTGAGTTCCAGGTCCTATGCATCATACATGTACATGCATACTGAATTTATTGATGGTGGATTTCTGCAACGACTGGCCAATCACATCAATGGGTAGCGGCAAGTCATGTGACTCGTTTCCTGTGCAAAACCGGGCCATCATACAACGCGTTATGTAACTCGTGACGTCACATAGCAATACCTTCTTCAGACACATAAGGTGGAATTGTCTTGGGTGGGACTTGTTTCAGGTGCCAAGAGCCATAATGAAACCAACTTTCGAAGTTACAGTATGTCTTGATCTAGTTACTAATGGCTGGGTGGTTGGTCGATGTGTTGTGAAGTTGCAGAATTAAAGAAGTAGGTATTTCCCTTATAATTATACTCTGAACCTACATGTACATGACATTATGTATGTGTTGTTGTTGTAACTCCGAGTTGTGCTGCATGATGATCGCTATTTGCGACTCGGAGCTACAGCAACAACACGTTGATTCTGTTCTCTGTACGTGTAAACAAATAAACATAGTTACCCAAATACTTCAAAAATGATATAAGTGGTGCTCTACAGGCACAATCTTCCTCAGCCTACTCAAGCTCAACTGATGAGGGGGGAATTCCCCGAAACACTGTGTAGTGAGCGGGGAGTGGTGCTTTCTTGCAGGTTTGCCGAGTCGAAGACGAAGGTTCGATGGACTTCTCGTGTGCTCTGGATGGCAGTCGTGAGTCAGTCAAGTGTCAAGTCAAGTCGGCGGAATAGCGCGAGCACCGGTCTGGGAGCAAACCCATTCCTAATAAATACTTGTTGAAAAATACCTAAACATGCTCTCTCTCTCTCTCTCTCTCTCTCTCTCTCTCTCTCTCTCTCTCTCTTTCTTTCTCTCTTTGTCTCACTATCACCCTCTTTGACCTCTTTTCAAATTTCGACTGCCTTTCTTGTGCTACCTGATAAAGAGGAAGCACAGGTGCGATCTGTAAAGACTTGAGCTACATGGCCTCAACACGACCAAGTCATTTTTCTTACTTTTTACTATGTTCACATACCCAACTTTGGTATATTAAAGAAAAATGACCAAAAAAACTACAAGTTACGCTATAAGTATAATGTCAAATAACACCACCAGTTAGGAAGAGGACATAATGGATAAGAAATAAGAGTAACTCTCCATCACTGTAACCAGATCCTTTTCCTTTCTACATTAAAATTTTATTATTGGCTCAACATCCGAGTTTTAAATAACACCACCAGTTACTAAACAATCAGCTCTGCCAATATTCCTGCCGGCATTACCCGCATATGCCTACTTGTAGCTTCTTGGTCCTTTTTCTTTACTATAAATTTGTCCTTGGCTCTCCATCCGAGTACATACCCAACTCGTAAATAACAATGAAATTGAAAGACAATGGTGCTGAGGGGTTTGTTAACTGACAACCGCTCTATTTTGTTGCTATTCACTCTTTAGATGAAAATTCTTTTATTAATGATGTCGAAAAATTATTGACATTTCGGGCCAGTCACCCATCGTCAGAAAATATTTTCGACATCATTAATAAAATAATTTTCATCTAAAGAGTGAATGGCAGCTAAATAGAGCGGTTGTCAGTTGGCAAACCCCCTTTCATTTACAATGCAGTTGCGGGATGTCCACCACTTTCTGAACGGATGGTACTGAGACCAAGACAAACGTGACAACTACTGAGCAGGGGCTGCACCGAGACGCAGCAGTGATGGTGGGGCATTGATGGCTCTGCCGACCTGAGGTCTCGGCATCACCGCCAAAAACACGCACCGAAAACAAAAGATAAGAGCCGTACGCGGGTCACGACAAATAGGAGATTCCCCAGACACCTGTACATGTAGGCGTTAGCCTTTGGGTAATCGTGAAATAACGCATGATTATTGTTACATGCATTAGCAAAATGAACTTTTCTTACTGTCCGTAAACTCCAACGCAGCCACTTACACCTTAATTTTAGCAAACTTCACTTCTCAGCTCCAAAAAACGGTCTCTTCACTGCGAAATGAAAAGAAAATAATTCTCCCCCCACAGTGACTGTATAGTGTGCACGCCTTATGTCAACATTTGCACAATATTCACATCAACTGTCCGCGTATCACATGCACTCACCTATACTGCTGCCGACAGGTGCGGACAAGGCAAGCAACAAGTACACATACATGTACATGGCACACAGCATTGCCGATCTCAACAATCCGCAGTGCTGGCCTCTTGTCGATGTTTTGACTGCGCCGCAGTTCTGAAGAGACTTCAATCGACCGTTGGACTGCACTATCCATCCTAGCTCCTGCTGGTCCATTCTCATACTAACGCTTGAGCTTGGTAGTGCCTATCGAGACAAACAGGCTAGACAAATAATTATTTTCTTGGCTATACTGAAGTATGATCACAGTACGGTTATCCGGAATCAAAAGGATCCACGTTCCACGTAATGGCCTCGGAAGTGTTCTGTCAGTGAATCAAGCTACTGTAGATTCAAGCTTTCGATGTGCACACCCGTCATCGATACACAAGATAGAGAAATGAGCACTGACTGACGTTGGCACACGGTTTTGTTGATCCCACGAGTGCAAGAATTCCCGTCCGGGATCTAGTATTCGCACTTCGTGGATGCATGTGTATTGTACATACAGATACTGGAGTGTGGAGGCGCCATGTACATGTATTGGTCAATCACCAATCCTAATAGGGTGTGCCTGGCCTGTGGAGGCGAAGCAAGTTAGTTTAGTTGTGATACAGCAGTGTTAAACCGCTACGCATTCAACGCAGGCCTGATGCGGGATGGATTGGTGGCATCGAGGCCAAGGCAATTGAGCGTTCAACGCCACCCTGCTTGATCTATCCTATACATTGTACATGTAGCTGCTCGATCACGTGACGACTGCAGCATCCTGGCCCGATTACAATCCTGATATCTTAGACAGTCAGCATGTGTAGAGTTCCTTAGGCAGCCAAGGTTCTTTCTTCTACTTGGGTCTAAGTTAAGTTCATTCCGTGGTAGGTTCTGTGCGGAGAATCACGTGTCGTGCCGTTAGCTGGGTGCCCCGCTCAGACACCAGATCCTGGCGCTAACTAAAATGCCGATGGCCTGGCTCCCTGTCCCTAGGTCAGTGTAACATTCAATTTTAAAAGTCACTCCTACGCAGTGGAACTCTGTCTGAATCTGAGGTCCAGGATCAGCGCTGATCGAAGATCTTTTTTTGATGATCACTCCAACAGCTTCTGCGAGAACATCAAGTTCGTGTCCATTGCTAGTCTTTCATACAAGTATGACTTGTACTCTTTGGAACACACATCATAAGGGGACGTAATGTCTAGGCGCTAGCTCTAATCGAATCATTTTCCTGAATATCAACCTCGTAGGGTATACAGTGAAACCTGGTTAGGAAGAACACTGATAAGACAAATGTTTGCCTAAGAAGAACTAGTATTCGCAACTGTATTGGATAAATCCCTGTGTATTCACCGGGTAAAACATAATATGGATAAGAAGAACTCCCGTTATTGCGAACAAAATATCATCGGTGCCTTGATGTTCGTCCTAAAGAGGTTTGACTGTAGGTCAATTCACCTTTGGAGACTCTGCAATATGAATGAAAAAGAGTGCTTGTCAGTGTACGTTACTCCCACGTACATGTATATGACATTGTATAGCTTGTGCACCTTACGCATCCTCCACGGCTGTTTTTTTGTGCGATTTCACGCCACTTAACAATATGGCCGCCGAAAGTCTCGATTGGGCTTCAATGTCAAGAAAATTTGAATTTTCAAATCGTCAGAACACGAGTAGGCCATGGTTTCCCCTGGATATTGGAGACTAGTTCAGCCCGGACAGCCCGGGGAACACGCTGATCATCTGCGTCTTGTTTCAAGCTTTCCGCTCGTACCTCACATGACTGCCTTTCCTTCAAGAAACATTTGTTCTGTGTCGTGCGACTTTGGCTTCGTTCTGGAATACGCCTTGTGTCGTCGCTGACAAACTCGGCTCCGAGAAGCCCTTCCCGATTTTTCCCCAGCTTAGATCGATTTTTTCCCAGGTAGAGGACTATCCTCTGGTTGTCTTCCCCAAGTGTCATTAGAATACGCGCGTGAACTTCTAAATACGCGCGACGAGTCAGGAGCCTGTTTTCTCTTGATTTGGAAGACAAAATGGTGTGGCCCTTTAGTTGCTGTTGAGTGTAGAAGGCTGCTTCCTGCTGTAAATTGCTTAGTCGGCATGTGGGATATTATAGAAGAAGACAGCAGCCGGCCAAGTGAGCTTGAAATTGTGATATCTACCCTATTGTGCGTTGAACGATTACGAAATGTCTAACTTGAATGTTGTACACGCGAGCACGCCAAGCAGAGGCTGACAATCACTGGCGAGATCAATCTCCAGACTGCCAGGAGTACTTCGAGCAAGTTTGAAGCGGAAAGACAGCTAACTGGGCAGGCCAGGACGCCTTTCCACCCTCTTTCTTTCTCAAATTGCCGAAAGGTCGAGTATCTCGCTCGAGCGCTTTCAAAACCTTTCTCTTGGTTTCGCGTCCCAAATCGTGGAACCACGCGAGGATCGACATGAGTTTCTTGCAAAAACGTAAACTCATCGCGTATTTGTACTATTCGCACAATGTTACATAAATCGCACCGAACGACGCCATATTGATAAGTGCCTGCACGTGAACAGCCGTGCCTCACTAGCTGCGCAGCTTCAACCAACACGTTCGCTCTGCTAGCAGTTAGTTTTGTCATACTTTCTTTCCTTGTCGCCCGTGTTAGGGCACACGTATCCCTCGTTTGTCATTACAACAGAACGCAGAGCAACCAAAACTATGGCAAACATGAATATTTTCCACTGGCCAGTAGGAGAATTATATGGAAAAGATTAAATTTATGTGCTTTGGGGATAAAATGCCCACATCCGTTATGTGACACGCCCAGTCGCAGAATGTACACCCAGGAGACGCACAGAAGATTGTCCACACTGATGGTTGACACGAGATACATAAAAGGCGGGAATTCTATAATGATACGGATGTCCATTGAGTACCCCTACCAATTGCCTCCTTCATTCATCACCCACGAGGCGAACCCAGTGCATTCAGCGTCTTTCTTGTTGGCTGGACGCCATGACAGGCTTCGGTTTAGAACAATGCTTCCTTGTGGGCATTCTGGCAAGGACAGATACACTACTATGATGTAGGTTCACATAATTTCATGATAGCCAGTGCAAACGCTTCGTTGTTCTATTTCTAAATATTCGCCTAAGTGTTGGCCGTGAATGAATGGCAGGCAAGAGTGTCGTTTGTCCGGTCAGACTGTCTGCTACATCTAGACAATACTCGACTGCAAAGCTCGGTGTGCTCTTGAGTAATGGTGAAAAGGGAATTCTTGGTGAATGCTGCCGCGGCGCTTGGCGGGAAAGGCCAAACGTCACTGATCCCTGGCACACAGACACACTAACATACTAGGAACATCACTCGAAGTCCAGCGCAGCTCGCTTGTTTGCATGTCTTGGAATCCGTCCAACGCGAATGCACAGTGGGGGTACACTTTCAGAGAGATCGTCGAAGAGCAGCTTCTTCAAAAGGCTGTGTTCAAATACGCCGTCAAATCGCCGTGCGTGTCCCCGCTGTGGGATTTGAATTACAATGTCTGGTTTTCTCCGACACTTTCCTGGGTATGTGCGGCTTGCCTGTCCGGTTCGGTTGGCTAGCTTGCCAAGGCATAACTAACTACTACCACTTGCCAGTAACATTACCATTGCAAGTACTGTGCTGTGTTTGCCAGGATTGGTGGAGGCAGTGTTGGCACAAGCGTCCCGCGCCACAAGTCTGCTCTCTGCCAACCACCCGCAGCTAACACTCCGTTGTCAAACGATTCTTGATTGTCCGGGTCGGCTATTTAAAATGCGCTCTTTTCCTAGCGTGTGGCCTAGCTCGCAGCTACAAGACCTAGTATCAATCCATTGGTACGGCGGTACTTCCGGCCTTGGTCATTCACACCCCTAGCGCGCCCGACGCACACCTCCACTCGGTATTCACGCTCAAACAAACACCGCGCAAATACCAGTGCCATATGAACACGAGCAAGAGCCAAAACACAAGCCAACGGCACTAGGGGATCAGGCCGAATCCAACTCCAACTGCTTGGAGTGCTTGTAGACGTACTTCAGGTCATCCGGGGACATTCCTCTGCGAGTCGCAATGAGTTGCACTAAAATACTGGCAAGTGAAATTCAGCCCCCGTTAACGCGTTAGTGGGCGCTGAGCGCTGTACTGTACGTCATAACCCTACTTATTCTATACTCTTCTGTGCACTGAACGCAGCGCAACTTGATTCGTGTGGTCGAATTTCACCAGGCAGAACGGCTGTACTGGCGCAGGTGAACCTGGGCTTTTCTTCACTTCTAATTCTAAATCTAGCAACGACCCTTGCATCTATTGTACATCATTTACTTCATGCTTTCACCATTTTTCAGAAGCGCTATTTCTTACCTCCGCTCAGGTTGATCTTGTCTGGGAGTGTGCTAGTTGTATCCCAGTGACGTTTTAGAACGCATGCCATTCTAGACCTTGGGTGGTCGCCAACTCTCCGCGTGCCTGTGGCACATCGTCGTCACAACATGCATGTCATTGGTCACTAGTTGGCAGTTACGGGCTGCCTCTACGGACATGATACAGTAACAGCCACTGCCTGTGACCATGGTGATCATGTAGCGGTCAGGCTGGAATCGCATTTGGTCATGCCCGAAGCACAAAGCTCTGGCACAATACCGGCGTAAAAATGAGTCTGGCACTGCGTTGGTATCAAGTTCTACATTGCATGTGTCAGACAATACCACATGTCAAATGTGCAAAATATGTGTGACGATGACAGCATGTGACAAGGTGGAGGGCACACTGTGTCATCGTCATACATGATTGTACACAATCATGTACATGTACATGCTTCTAAAACTATCAAGACTTGCATCTTCAACTTCATTCTCCCGAGTCAAGCTCCGTGTGAAGACATCCAACAGGAAGATTGCCTGATGAGTCCCAGCGGGGACGAAACGTACGTCGCAATCGAGCTATGTCGTTGCTGTGTCATCTTCTATGTGCCATGCCCTACTTGATGTACCAGCCTGCTATGCCGGATACCGCCAGCCATGCATCGACTAGGCGCCAGGCGCGAACTGATGGTGGTGGTGGTGAGAAGGAGAGCTCTGTGCCAGAACTTTGCAGCTTAGAGAGCGTGTGTGGGCAGGCGTGTGTTTACCGCCATATTGCCAGGTGTGTCTTTACCACCATATTTATCAACCAAGGCTTGCACAATATACCATAATAATAGCAAGCTGGTATGGTACAATAAACTTTTATTATAAAAAGTAAAAAGGACCAAGAAACTACAAGTTGCACCATAATGTCCATTAACACCAGTTACTAAACAATCAGCTCATGCGATAACATTGCACGACATTGACCGACGGTACTGACGTTCTACAACTAACTGGCTAACAGCTCTAGCACCTCTTTTATATAAAAAATCCTTGGCTCTCCATCCGAGTTTAACCTTTTCTTCTTCTTCTTTTTCTTTTTCTTTAACCTCGAATGGTTCTTTACAATCTGTATCAAAATGTGTGGGCTCAGCAATAAAGGATATTATAATTATACCATGCCCTACAAATTGTAAACCCATACTTCAAAATAATTCAGGCACTTTTGCGAAAGGCATACCGGTAATCGTTATTTTCTGATCTGGAACTTGCAGCTACACATACATGTACATTGCACCTTGGGCTCCAATAACCAACCTAGCCTACCTGCCACATCATGGCCAACACTGCAACAGTAAAATTAATAATATCTGTTACAAAGTACACGTACATGTAGAAACTAGGGAGCAGTGCCAGGTGGAAGGTGCTTTGTGTGGATGACGTGACAGTAACTGTCAACTCATCCACACAGAGCACTGCATGCAGTTCTGTTGGCTAGTCATTCAGTGCTGTCTGCATTGTCTGCATTGTTGCGCACTCGAGGTTGGAGGCGTACTGGGGGTGTGTGGCAGGCGTAGATGTACAACAACAAGTGCCTTTCCGAAACACCAAAGTGCGGGTCAATTCTCATTGATGACCAGTGTGCAAGCCCAAGGGATTTCCATACCACATCCTGGAGCTCACAAAATTCAAGCCGAACATTCCTAACATTGTACATGTACATGCAACAAGAGCGTGTCTGCACGCTTGATGGCACACTACATGTACTACACGTACGCTGCCAGTAGTCCTTGAGACTTTTCAAGGTGCTACAATTAGTCAAATTAAGCTCCGTATCACCAACATCGAGAATCGCCAGATCGTCACTTAGAACGACACTTGTTCTTGCTCCTAACTGTACACAAGTTCACGAGTTCAAGTTCACAAGTCATACCGTGTTGAGCATCACTTACATGTGTACTAAACTAACTGAACCAGAACCCATGCCAGTATGATTTGGAGAGCATCGTACACCATTGCATTCAATGCACATGATAGATGGGGAGCTGGGCTACGCTTGGGTGAAGACTCGCCTCGACAATACGAAAAATCGTGTCCTTCTTCAATAATGGATTTTAAAGTGGAAATGGAAAATGTTTGAGGCCTTTTAAAACACATGATCACATGAAGAAAACGACTCTCGCCATGGCTCACATCAGTGTGGACATGGTAGACAGCAGGATAAAGCTCCGGAAACGTCAGAATATGGCAGCAATGAACATAATTTCTGAAGACATGCAACAGTGGAGAACAGCATGTCACACCAGAGCGAACGGCGTCACTGGACAGAAACAGAAATACATTAGAAAAGGACTACCGGTATTATCTATTAGGTGGCAACTGCAGTCGCAGTGCTTGAGCCGAAAAAGTCTCTCTCTCTCTCTCTCTCTCTCTCTGTTTCTCTCTGTTTCTGTCTCCGTCTGTCTGTCTCTCTCCGTCTCTCTCTGTCTCTCTGTCTCTCTCTCTATGTATCTATCTATCTATCTATCGATCTATCTACTATCTCTATCTCTATCTATCTATCTCAACCTCTCTCTGTCTGTCCCTCTGTCTTTCTGTCCGAGTCAGTCTCTGTCCCTCTATGACTTGTGTGTCCCTCTCTCTCTCTCTCTCTCTCTCTCTTCTCTCTCTCTCTCTCTCTCTCTCTCCTCTCTCTCTCTCTCTCTCTCTCTCTCTCTCTCTCTCTCTCTCTCTCTCTCTCTTTCTCTCTCTCTCTTTCTCTCTTTGTCTCTCTCTTTCTCTCTTTGTCTCTCTCTCTCTCTCTCTCTCTGTCTCTCTCTCTCTCTCTCTCTCTTCTCTCTCTCTCTCTCTCTCTCTCTCTCTCTCTCTCTCTCTCTCTCTCTCTCTCTATCTCTCTCTCTCAAGGGGTTGGTATGCCATCAGTGTAGTGAGAGTATCGGTGAAGGTGATGCCAGAGGGAATATGTTGGTTATCATGGTTATAGAAGTGAGCGATGGCGGTAAACATTGCCATAGCATGCTGGGTTTGGGGTTGGGGGGGGGGGGGGGGGGGGGCGGAGAGGAAATACGTATACCGTGGTAGTTAGTGTTCAGTTTGTTGGGTCTTCTGAGACTCGAGGACAGAGACAGAGGGAGAGGTCGAAACATTCAAGGTGTTCAGGAAACATGCGACGTGGAGACAATAATTTTTAAATGATAGCGATGAACAATATTAGTTCCGCGGACCGCGGTCATGCCACACAACAAAGAAATCTCAAAAGAGGCTTAGCCAAAATCGATTTTCTTCTCACTCTCATCGGTGGATTTCCGTGACTGAAGAATAATAATGTACAGCAGAAAGGTTTGGTTAAACCTATTCTGAGACTTCTTTGTTGGGTGGCATGACCGCGGAACTAATAATAATTATTGTTCATTGTGTTCGGGAAAATCGACAGCACATTATCCCCAAAGCGACACATCCGTTGCTCCCTTACACAGCTGCTTTTGAGCTAGCTGTTCACTGCTGCTTATCCTTGTCTAGACTCTAGCGATATTTTATGTACGAATTTTTAAAACAACTCATACAAGTGCAAGCAGTTACCATGGTTACGGCAGTGCTCGGTCCCAACCTGCCCGGATTAGGGAGTTCAAACTATCTCAGTATCTGCTCAATGCAATCCGTTCTCTCGTGAGTAAAGTCTGCGCCCTGTCGCAGTGCGAAGGCCCAGTGTTCAGAGATGTGGGGCTGCACGGCGCCCAGCGCCGGAGTTTCCCAGACTCTCATAATCGAAAATAATTCAATATAAATTATTTCATTCAGCAACAACGAGTTACGTAGGCATGAGGCGGCCGTGTACATAATCTCTACAACAAGCAAGACTAAAGTCCATAACCCCCACTCTTGCAGCACAAGTCATGCTCAGCTGATCTCATCAGTCTACTCGACCTACTGTTTTCTCAGGATCTTATTCTGGCACTGTGGGGATCTTCTCCAAGAAATCTGTTCTGAAGAGTTCTTCATTGTCTGTCGATATGGCGAGCGGATATCGCCTTCTTCTTCCAACGTTAGCCGCGTTCCTCTCGCTACTGGCGAGCGGCCATGCCGCGGCAGCTAGGTACACTAAATCGGAAGAATTCGTGAACGATGCAGCTGCAGGAACTGTCGATATTGATTGGACCACTGTTGTCGCCATCAGCAAACTACCACCACACTCCAGGTAACTAAGTTACTTAGTTACTTGGTCTAGCATTAGGACGAGTGAGTGAATGAGATAGTCCGATGATCGAGTTCTAGTTCCCTGTCTTGCGCTGGAAATGGCAATGGCATTCACACCCATTGATCAATTTGAGGGAGATAAAATGGGGAAACCCCGAAGCAAAATTGACTTCCTTCACCGTCGAACCAGGGCCAGGGACCTTCACCATAAAGCTAGCGATGCTCAGTCGCTAAGCGGGTGACCATCAGCTCGGCAGAGACCGTTCAAAACCTACACTGCTGCGAGAACATTCACACTCGTCGAATTGTGCGTGACTTGTGAAGGAAAACAACACAAAACACCCGCTTCGTGAATCGTTACGACTTACAGTCCAAAATATTTGATCGATGCATTCCGTTCTGCCGCTCTAGCCGTCTGCGTGCGAGCAGGTATGCCGAATATCGGTCTTCGTGGTGAGAAGAGATGAATGGGGAAGGAGCATTGCCGAAATTTGGACATCACACATGTGCGTCTTTATGTGTGAAAGTGTTTGCTGCCCACCAGGGAGTTCACGCTATTCCGCTGACTTGACTTGATGCTTGACTCACTATTTCACTTACTGTGGGGAGCACACACTTTCCTGTAAAAATATCGCCAAAGTCGCTACCACTGCATGCTATCATGATTGCCTTTCACATTCAGTAATGTGATTTGTCACAGGTACGTGTAGACTGTATACTGCGTACGTAGAGTTGTCAGCGGACCTAGCCCACGTGACCAAACTAGAAGGATATAGGAGGAATATCAGGAGACCACCAGCCTGCTAATCTTCTCACAGTGTGGAACAAAGTATCGCCTTCAATGAATGCCTTGGTGTTGCCGATTGTGGGAACGTGACATAATGCATTGAGCTGTTTACGGAGTGGTTTGACTTCAGATGGATGGTTTCTGGTGGCAATGTTGAGGAGTGCATTAAGCCATTTCGCTGCCCTAGGCAGGACCGGCGCAGGCAGTTTTCATTGGTACGGGCCATGCCCTAGCCTTTTGTACTCTGTGTATGATACGGCGATTATACACATGACGTCATGGCCTCGTCAGCAATACACACACGTTCGTGGTGAAAGAGTTGGTCCAACCATGGATTGACCAATCAAACCGGTTCCGCCTGTCCTGCTAGACCATGGAGTTCCATTGTGGGACAAACTCCAAGGCAGCCAACTTCATCCTTTCTTTGTACTGTATATGAGCGTGCGTGTGTGTGTGTGTGTGGGGGGGGGGGAAGATGCATGTAAGATTAGAGCGTCTGTGCATGTGGTATGTGAATGTGTCTGGGCCCGGGGTGGGTCCCTTTGGGAGAATGTGCACTTTGTAGGTGGGTGTTTTTCATGCGTAAATGTGTGTTTTGTGTGTGTCTGCCTATCTGTCTGTGTGCATGCCTGTGTTGTGTGTGTGTGTGTGTGTGTGTGTGTGTGTGTGTGTGTGTGTGTGTGTGTGTGTGTGTGTGTGTGTGTGTGTGTGTGTGTGTGTGTGTGTGTGTGGTGTGTGTGTGTGTGTGTGTGTGTGTGTGTGTGTGTGTGTGTGTGTGTGTGTGTGTGTGTGTGTGTGTGTGTGTGTGTGTGTGTGTGTGTGTGTGTGTGTGTGTGTGTGTGTGTGTGTGTGTGTGTGTGTGTGTGTGTGTGTGTGTGTGTGTGTGTGTGTGTGTGTGTGTGTGTGTGTGTGTGTGTGTTGTGTGTGTGTGTGTGTGTGTGTGTGTGTGTGTGTGTGTGTGTGTGTGTGTGTGTGTGTGTGTGTGTGTGTGTGTGTGTGTGTGTGTGTTCGCAGGTAGTGGTGAACCCGTTGCTGCGCCGTGAGTCGCCGGTCCACCGACGCCATGTATCAGAGTCTCTCAGAGCTGAAGGCAGACTACGTACGCTATGTCCCCTGGTATGTGTTAGCTGACTGTGCCACACTGTTTGAATTTTGTAGACTCTGATCTAATGCAACCATTGTACAATACGTGTGGCTCTCTTTATCTCCCTCTCCTAATATGTCTTGCGGAAGTCAAGTTTTTCAGGGAAGAGATCATTTTGAAAGGAGAGAGAGAGAGAGAGAGAGAGAGAGAGAGAGAGAGAGAGAGAGAGAGAGAGAGAGAGAGAGAGAGAGAGAGAGAGAGAGAGAGAGAGACAGAGAGACAGAGAGACAGAGAGACAGAGACAGAGACAGAGACAGAGACAGAGACAGAAACAGAGAGAGATAAAGAGAGATAAAGAGACAGAGATAGAGAGGCAGAGAGAGAGACGGACAGAGACGGACAGAGACAGAAACAGAGAGAGAGAGAGAGAGAGAGAGAGAGAGAGAGAGAGAGAGAGAGAGAGAGAGAGAGAGAGAGAGAGAGAGAGAGAGAGAGAGAGAGAGAGAGAGAGAGAGAGAGAGAGAGAGAGAGAGAGAGAGAGAGAAAGAGAGAGAGAGAGAGAGAGAGAGAGAGAGAGAGAGAGAGAGAGAGAGAGAGAGAGAGAGAGAGAGAGAGAGAGAGAGAGAGAGAGAGACAGAAACAGAGAGAGAGAGAGAGAGAGTGGCATTTGAGAAACGAGCACATCAGTTGCCATTCCATCACAGGCCAAGGCCAGTCTTTTCCACACAAAAAAAGGCGTTCTGCCAACAGTCCATTTCAAAACTATAGACGCGTACCTAGGCAAAAACCGTTATGCCAGCATCTATACCACAGAAAATCTGTGATCACTTTGTGCATAAATTTTTCCAAATTGGGCGTCTGTTATCCAATCGTTTAGAAACTATATGAGAGTAATTGTGGAGCGGACCTGAGCAATATTCCGAAAACTATTCTCAAAAAGGTCCAGCCAAATTTGAAATATTTCAAAAAGCCTACGCGTCTATAGTTTTGAAATAGACTGTAGTTGTCGTCAATGGAGTACAGTCAATCCTGCCAATAACAACCCTCAATAGTGTGCAATAAAGCCTGGTTTAATGAGCAACCACCCTACGGTGCAAGCAAAAGCGGTCGTTAAAGCCAAGTGGTCTTTAGAACCAGGTCCCACAATGTCTGTGTAGAACTTTCGGTGCATGGAAAGACGGTCGTTAAGAGCAGGTGGTCGCTGAACCCAGAGGTCGCTTACACTAGGTTGTACATTGTACTGTATGAGAAAAGTGTCATCAGTCGCAAGCTGTCCTTCTACGTGAAGTTGAAGCATGCAGTGAAATGGTCGCTAGGTCCGAAGATTTTGTTGCTGTTGTTATTTTGTCATACCCTAGGTCGTTATTCATGAAGGCCACTGTGGAATTATTACAGGAAATGAATGTTAAGGACAAATCAGCTTTAAGTCACTTGTGTGTTATCTTCGCTATATTTTTTGCACTGAGCTATGCTTTTTGCTATTTGTTTTTTTTGGTTTTCCCAGGCTTCCATACCCCAAACTGGGGGTGGCCGAACTGGACCCGCCGTCTGGAACCAACCTCTGCAGGATGATGTCCGGTGAGGAGGGCAACAATGAAACAACATCGCTGTCCTGCGGCACCGGGAAAATATCTAAGGTACGAACTACGAACAGAGCTAGGGCATGTTTGTTTGTTTGTTTTTATCTTATTTCATCAGATTCACAGGCATTTCTGCCTTCTCCTCTAACCATTATGTCTAGACTCTAATAGAAGATGAAGAATACGAGTAGTACCATAAGTTTACAAGTTATCTGTTTTGTCAGTTTGGGCACTCTGGCAAGGTACGTTTGGGCCTGGTTTAAATCTGGCTTTGGAAAATTTACTTTTCATTGCTATCCGGTTCGGCCTCATTTTCTCTATGCTGCGATGATGGGTCCACAAAGGACGAAACAGTTCTGTCCGCAGATTGAGTATTTCGCTCCTGCTCTTGCAGTAGTTGAGCACTCTCGTGTGGGGTAGTGCCTTTGCTGTTTGCGTTATGCAGAGCTCACTGACTTGTCAGTTTGAGCACTCTGGCAAGGTACGTTCGGGCCTGACCCTCCACTTTACTGCTCCTTGTGCAGATTGACTTTGCCAGCTACGGCACACCCACTGGCAGTTGTGGTAGCCTGGTGCTGGGCAAGTGTCACGCGGAGAACTCCACCAGCATCGTGTCGAGCTATTGCCTGGGAAAGTCCCAGTGCACGATACCCGTGAATAGCGACGTGTTTGGTGATCCGTGCGTCAACACCGTCAAGCAGTTTGCTGTACAGGTACGTCACGTGTAAAGTCAACTTTGCGCATGACGACACTCGCTGGGGCATCAGAAAAGTGCCCTTATTGGCGAAGTGACCTTACACCCGAAGTCTCATTATATGTATTACAGTTAGATGGGACTCCGCTTTGGGCACGGAAATTCTGTCGTTGCTCGCCAATTGTCGTCATATCCGCAGTCCTTATTAGCGAAGTTGACTGCATATTCATGTGCGGTGAAACCTGCCTAAGCCGACTGCTCAAGGGACCTTTTTAAAAATGTTGGTCCAGTGTACAGGTGATTTCCGTATGCAGGGTTGTTTGACTGGAAATAACATCCGTTGGTCGTTGTTTAAAAAAAATAAAAATGTTAGCCGGATTCGCGGCCGCATCACCTGACGTGTTCAGGAACACATCAAGCAAATACATTCGCATCGGCGGGCCACCACTTCGCCCATAAGTCCTTAGTGTCTAATGCAGACCTCAGAAGTGAGTCAGGGGAGAGGGGATAAGTCTCTCGACAAGCGGGCGTGTAAAGGCCCTATAACCCCATAAACTGCATCCTTGTTACCCTCACACCGAGCAAGTGAGTACCCAGTTCACTGTGGGTGTCGGCACAGTTCATTGCATGTAAAGTGGTACTCGCCTGCATCACCACGATTGAGAGAGCACTAAACACACTCCCTGTTACCAGCGCAGGTTTTCAACTCGGAACCTCATGATGACCTCATGATGACCTCATGATGACCTCATGATTCGCAGGCCGCAAGCCTACAAACCAACCGGCTATACGCGTTGGTCAGTGGCCGTTGTTTAGTGGGGGTTAATGGACAGGTGCTCGGTCGCCTTAACAGAGTGGTCGCACTGACAGGAGTTTACTGCATGGCCCGTGTAGTTGAAGTGTGTGTGTGTGTTGTGCTCATTTCCACTGTACTCTCAAGCTGCTATTCGAGCGCTGGGAGTGGGTTTTAGAAGAGAGGGCAGTAGAACTTCTGCATGTAGAGAAGGTCAAAACTAAAATGGAATTATTAAACAATATGATAAGATCCTGAGCAGCTGGACATTCAGGATCACCGTGAGCAATGTTGTCCGACAACTATGCCGCTTAGTGTTTGCATTCAGCGAGCACAGGATCACTCCTTCACATATGGAACTTTAACCTGTGAGTCCTTGCACCGTCCATGTTTGAAAATTGCCGCGCAGGCGAATTCGCATCGGGAAAACAGACTCGACATTCTCATTGCCGCGCACACAGGCACATGTTGTACCTGACTTCAGTACAAGCATTAGTCTGTATTACGGCATGCCAGGGATTATAGGTGAAACTGTTTTAATGGGAACTTGGGCAACAGTTTTAAAATATGTTGCTCTTTAAAAAAAAATGCTGCTTGTATGCATGTGTTGTAGTACGTTATTTTGTGTACGTCGTGTGTACGTCATGTTGGTGCATGCGCGTGTTGCTGTGGTATGAAAAGCTGTCTTCGTCTTGAGTTCACCATGTCTTCGTCTTGAGTTCGTCATGTGTAGTTGTGGTTCCGTCGTCTTGTCACAAATATAGTCTTCTAAATGTAGTTATCGTCGTCCCTTTGTACAAGTGTGGAGATGGCACGGGACTGGGAGCAGGGAGAGAAAAGCGAGATACAACACATGCACTACTGTTGTCTCTGTGTTTCCCAGGTTGAATGCAATCCACCGATGAACCATACCTACTGGGATTTCTCTGTTATTGATCCGATGACTGAAGACTTTATGAATGCAACGCAGGACCACACGGTCATTATCAACTTCTCCACTATACCGGCCTGGCTGTACAAGACACCGGCACGTGTCGTCTATCCTGATAATCCCGGTAGGACGCAGATGTGTGCGTGTGTGTGTGTGTGTGTGTGTGTGTATGTGTGTGTGTGTGTGTGTGTGTGTGTGTGTGTGTGTGTGCGTACATGCGTGTGTGTGCATGTGTGGGCTGGGTGGGTGCGTAGGTTGGGTGTGTGGATTGGGTGTGTGCGTGCGTACGTGTGCGTGGATGCGTTGCCACAAGGGCAGACATAGTCAACTCAGGGATTGTTTTTTGGCTAGTGGCTGCATGGTGACTCCGTTCGCAACAAGGGAGATTCTTAGTAGCCACATTGTCTAGCTGACCTTCAAAGTATTCTGCGCTGTGGCTCGGTCCTGTCTGCAGAAAGGACTTTCCACTGATTGTCTGCATGTATCGGTTTGTGTTTTGTGTGTGTGCGTGACTGTGTGCTAATGAATATAGCAACTGCGGTCTTTGTGTAAGTGTGCGCATAGATAGTCAATCATTCCTGACTTTTATGTGGACATGTGCTGGTGCTGGTGCTATTGCTGCTGTTGCACGGCTGCTGCTGCTGCCGCTGCGTAGACCGTGAATCTAGCCCCGGCTACACACAGGGCACTGAGCTAGTGGATGAGACTGGACAAGACCTCGGGGACTACTATGGACGACTGGTACGTGCTTTGTCAATTCAACTTTAATAGCATGTGTGTGCGTATGCGTGTGTGTGTGTGTGTGTGCGTGCGTGCGTGCGTGCGTGCGTGCGTGTGTGTGCAGGGGCGTCGGAACCAGTGCCGCATCAATAATTTTCGAAGTTTTTTTTTGCATTTCAACCTTGTTGATGGCTTGTCGACTCTTGTACAGGTACCATGTTTTACATCGACAATGCGGTGTATCATCTGCATGCATATTCTTATTTCTCATATTATTCTGTAGCATTAAAATATGGCCTTTTAGGCCCAATTTTCAAAAAAAAATCCCGCGGGAGGACCCCCGGATCCCCCTCTCACACTTTCGCCGCACCAATGTTAAACTGCTTCCGACGCCCCTGATGTGTATGTGTATCTTTGCAGTAGAACAGTGACGTTCTTCCGTTACCTCTCCCCCTAGATTGCCGTTGCATTGCGCTAGCTAGCCCTGTCCCCGCTCACGATAGCTACAGTAGAGCCGCGTCACAAAAACGTGGAGCTGAAGAACACCGAGCTCGAAATACTAAGAACGCTACAGCCTAAAGTTAAGAAGTTTGGTTTTCGTGCAGCTTCGGTGCTGCATGTGTAGGTGTTCATACGATCCAGAATTGTTTCTAAGAAAGTGCTAAGAACGCAGCCAAGTTGCTCAAAGATAAGACAAACATCCCAGGCTGACCCGTCCTGGGAATGATGTTCTTGGGCATCGCAGGCCAGTGAGGAGTGGGGGCGACCTGGGTCCTGGTGTCCCCTGGGAAAAAAATTCGGATTTTTCGCCCCCCCCCCCCCCCCCCCCCCCCGGGTACGTTCTAATGCTCTTTTATTGCTCTTTTGGATGAATTGTGCAGACCATTGATGCATCCTGGACGAAAAGTGGTACTGCACGACCTTGGTCGTACTTGTCGCAGCGTGTGTGACGCCCCTGGCACGACTCCACTGTACTTAGTTACTGTAAAACCGGAAAGTCTAACGAGTCACAAAGTCTAACGTTTTAACGACCAATTTATTTTCGTTATTTGAAGAAACGTGTGGCGAACCCGGTTTGAGATGTCTGTGTAAAGATGCGCAGACAGATGGATGGCCAAGTAGCCATCGTTAAACTTTCTGCACGTTATAATGCCAAAATTACAAAAACGTTTAACTTTTTGGTCGTTAAACTTTCCGGCTTTACAGTACCCATGCTGAGCAAGAAACCGGTCTACATACCTACCCATTACAATGCCTTCATGATGTTTTACTTCTTGGTATGACGTTGGTGTTGTTCAGGTGAGTTACTATACACAGGGTGGGTTCACGGATGAATACGGTGTGCAGCATAAATCAGACTACAACTATGATTTCCAATACTGGGAGTGCCTCAACGAAGTGGAGTCGGAGCACCGCAACACGCCAGAGACCTACACCAACGTCTACGACTACATGGTGCAGGGCATCCGTCGCCATGCCGACCCGGAGCGCAAGATGAAGTTCGTCGGCATGGCGTTGGAGGGACACCACGAGTACAGCTGGTACACGTACTTTCTGAACATTTCCAATCATGTCTCCCACGACATCCCCCTGGACATTGTCAGCTTCCACTTCTACGCTAGCTGCTCATCCAGAACAGACCCGACCACGTACACACAGTTTTTCTCACGTGCTGACGGATTTGTTGATGAGGTGAGTGCGGTGTGGATTGCAGTGGGGTGGGGGTGGGAGGGGGGGGGGGGTGGATGCGTGTGTGTCTGTGTGTGTATGTGGGTGAGTCTGCTGATCGCCGTGACGTTGTTGTCGGAGCAGACACGATTGAAGTGGTGGTCCAATTCACCCACCTTGGCAGTGTGCTCTCCTCAGATGGTCTTGCCTGTGCTGATGTCCGCTCTCGCCTTGCGAAAGCCTCAGCTGTGTTCGGAGCCCTCAAAGCTCCCGTTTTTGATAACAAGACCCTGTCGCTTCGCAGTAAGAGGCGTGTGTATGAGGCTGTCGTCCTCACGGCCCTCTTGTATGGTGCGGAGACGTGGACCACCAAGGCAGGTCACCTCCAGAAGCTAAACACGTTTCACCATCAGTGTGTTCGGTCCATTGTGGGTATCGGCCGTCGTCAACAGTGGGATGATCGGATCACAACAGCCACATTAGCGGCTACATTCGGTGTTGACCCTGACATCACCAGCATCATCCGTTGCCACCGTCTTCGTTGGGTGGGTCATGTCGGCAGGATGGACGATTCGCGCACGCACCGAAGCAATTGCTGTTCGACGAGTTGCCTGCTCCCGTCCTCGTCACGGCCCGAAGAAGAGGTGGCGAGATGTGGTGTCGACTGACCTGGCGGACCTCGGCGTGACCACCTGGCTTGAGAGTTGCCAAGATCGTCCCAGCTGGAGACGAGTTGCGAGTAGCACTCCACCGCCACGGCCCGCTCCTGATCCTCTTCTCTGTGTCAGTGGACGCCCGTTTCGTCGACCAGGAGACCTGAAACGACATGCCAAGTTCTGCGCTCGTATTCTCACTTGAACTTTCCGACATTCGCTATCATTGCGTACACAATGGGCAAGATCAAGGTCAAGGTGTGTGTATGTGTGTGTGTGTGTGTGTGTGTGTGTGTGTGTGTGTGTGTGTGTGTGTGTGTGTTTTATGGGTGGGTGTGGGGGTGTTTGTGGGTGGGTGTTTGTGTGTGTGTGTGGGGGGGGAGGGAGAGTGTCTGCATGTGTGTGTGTATGTATGCGTGTGTGTGTGTGTGTGTTTGTGTGTGTGTGTGTGTGTGTGTGTGTGTGTGTGTGTGTGTGTGTGTTTGTGTGTGTGTGTGTGTGTGTGTGTGTGTGTGTGTGTGTGTGTGTTTGTGTGTGTGTGTGTGTGTGTAGGTGCGTGTGTGCATGAGAGTGTGTGGTGACATGGGGACTCGTGTAGAATGGCTTTCTTGAATCCACATCCTTACTCTTTCCTCTCTCCCATTTTCTGCTCAGTGCAAGCAGATTGTAGCCATCCGAGATGCTCTATCGCCGCACACATTGCTGGACGTGGATGAGACGGGTGTGATTCTGCCTGGTGACAATAGTCCCAATGCACCCATGTTTCCACTGGTCTACTACAACGCAGCCGGTGCCATGTACGCATATCTGTTTGGAAAGCTTGCCGAGATTGGTAGGTCAATGAACTGCGTGTGTGTACACGCATCTCTGTTCTCTCTGTACTGTCAATGCATTAGTTGTCATGCATAGTAGGGGTGTAGTGTGACTGGTGCATGGCGTGCCTGGAAACCCGGTGACTCCACCATGATGTTGATGCAAAGCAACATATTTTTTTCCTACTGTGGGCTGAGCTTGAAGAACCTAAATAGTAGATACCGTAGCCGGGGAAACTACTTTGAATCCTCCCATCCTATCCCCTCCCGCCAGTCCCGGGCCATGCCCCTGATTATGAATTGTAGTGGGTTATGAATAGCATACAAGAACACAATGATCATAGGTGGAAACACCCCACCTATTCTTCACCATCATCAATATGGACTCAAAATTTCATAAACCAGTTTTCTGGCATTCTCTTCAAATGAAATACAAGCAACCAGAACCAATGACACATAGGGATAAGTAGCATCACAAGGGTGATAACCATCACAACTACATGAACATGTAGGTGATACATTTAGCGAAGAATTTATGCACAAGGGGTGATAAGAAAAGGGGGAAAGAGAGAAAAGAGAAGTGAGACAAGAGGAACTAAAACACACACACACACACACACACTGTGTAAAGACAAACACCAAATGGACGCTACGTTAACTGGTGGGATCAGGGGTGTCAGTTAACAACTTGAGAGATATTACATGTTGGTGTTTGTGGCGGCTGGGTTGCACAGGAAACGTGAGCGTCGAAGTCTCTAGAAAACGATGAATGGCTCCTGCTTGGATGACGACCACTCCGTAACTTAGTGACAGAGTGCCGATGGCTTATAGTGAATGTCCATGGTTCGAGTGCTGGTGATGACAGTCATTCTTGTTGTTTAAGACTTTTTCGGCTTCAATTCCCTCCAGCTAAAAAAATAAATGTACAATGTGCTTTTGAATGCACTGAAACAAACGTTGGGTGACCACTACTCCCTATGATGCAAAGAAGTCCGGTCTCATAAGCAGGTGGTCTTTCTACTCCGGTCTCTGCAGACTGCCTCTTATCACAGGGATCGGTCAACGCCAGTTTTACTGTGGAAACGTTTAAAACCCAGTGTGTATGCATGCAATCATGCATCCGTGCTTAAAAGTACCGTGAGATGAAATTCCAAAAGGCAAAAGGAACTATGTTGCTGCACTTTCTCTCTAATTTTACTACCATGTGCTTCCCGCAGAGTCCGGTAGAAGCAAGCATCTTTATACTGGTTTGTGTTGCCACAGGCGCCGCGGCAAAGGTACTTACCTTTGTGCGAATCAATATGTTATTTTGTTCAGGTGTTGAAATCCTCGGCGAAAGCCAGCTGGTCGGTTACCCGGAGCTGCCAGAGTTGCACCTTCAGCCACAGTACCCCAGCGTAGCCATGCTGAACTGGACCAATGGCCTGGGAAACGCTAGATATCACGTACTCAAGGTTCTCATTGAGAACTTCCGGCCCGGTGATAAGCTGGTCATGACGCAGGTTTCTCAAGGTGAGACGTAACCCCGCAAGATTGTACTTCAACTATCTGTAATGTGTTGTGTTTGGATGCAATAACCTGGAATGACACATAAACTACCTTACAGTAGAGTCGCGCGCTGAAGAACGTGGAGCCCAAGAACGTCCAGCCTGAAATTCTAAGAACGCCACAGCAGGACGGCAGTGTTGGTTTTCCGGCAGCTTGTGGGATACATATGATCCAGCACGCACTGTTTCTAAGAACGTGCTCTAAGAACGCAGCCAGATTGCTGACAAAATAAGAACGTCCCAGGCTAACCCCTTGGAAACAACGTTCTTGGGCACACGACTCTACTGTAGGCAAGAATCTCCTACTTCTAAGTGTCGGCCCTCCATTTTACTCCATCACTTCACATGATGGATCCCAGGTTATGTCTTGAAAAAAAATAGGAGAAATGAAAAACATCCCTATGCTTTTTTTTCCTAGGTCATCAAGGTGGTAGCCGGTGTCGTATTACCCTCAAATGCAAAGAGAAAAAAACATTTCCATCAGTTCTAATAACATGCATGATGAGCTAGGCAAAAAAGCATAGCGTAGGGCCCTGAGCTTCCAAGCTCTCTCGTTTGAATCTATTTCCCAGATCCGTTTTCACGAGGTTGAGTGTACATCTTTCTGTGTGTGTGTGTGTGTGTGTGTGTGTGTGTGTGTGTGTGTGTGTGTATGTGTGCGTGTATGTGTGTGTATGTGTGTGTACATACGTGTGTGTGTGTACGTGTGCGTGTGTACGTGTGCGTGTGTGCTTGTACGTGTCCGTGGGTGTGCTTGTGCATGTGCCGGTATGCACGTGTGCATCTCCCTGCTGCCCCATGCAGCCTCATCAGTTGGTGATAACTTCTGCGGTGATATACTAAACTTGAACACGATGACCATTCAGTGTACAGATGCGGACGCCACCGTGGACAAGATTCTCTTCGCATCCTACGGCACAGTCCAAGGAAATGCATGTGGAAACTATAGTGTCGGCACGTGCAATGCAGCAAACAGCACTGACATTGTGGAGAAGGCGTGTTTGGGGAAGAACATGTGCAGCATCGACGCCAACACACCGTTGTTTGGTGACCCATGTTACGACGTGGTGAAAAACCTTGTTGTGGAGGCGCACTGCAGCAAGGGATCGGGCACAGCAAGCGGAGGTCAGTCATCGAACGTCTACGCTCAGGCGTTCATGGCATTTGACGGCTCACGTCACCGTGTGTTGCTGGTGAACAAGACGCCCGATTCGCTGAGTGTCATTGTGCCTGGAGCAAGCGGATCTACGGCTATCATCGTTGATGATACTCGTCCTACTGGTCCTGCTATCAACACTAAACTTACCAGTGATACTGTGCAAATGAGACCCTATGCTGTCTTTGTTCTTATCATGTCATCGTAGCCGTGATGCAGCTATTGATCAATGACAGCATGTGTGTGTGTGTGTCAGTCTTTTTGTCTTTCTCGATGAATTATCACAGCTTGCAGGACCCTAGCATGGAACTCCTACAGACAATCGTAACCAGAGCAAATTACTCTCTAGTCCCCTACATTGATTGTATTATCTAGACCGGCCGCTATGAGCCCGTTTTGTTTTGGCTTTTTGCCCCCTCCCCGATACTGTACGGTAAACAGTGGCCTGTGTGGGAGTGTATGAGTGCAGCACGCAAGATGCGCACACGCACATGTCTGCCGTTCTCGCACCAGCACAACGGTTTTAGGGTACAGCAAGGGTTACGGAAACATAGAAACAAGACTGTAAAAAATACAAAAAGAAGAAACGCACGGACAAAACAAACGACCCGATTTGGGAGACGCACAACTAAAAATAGAAACTGCATTTAAAAAATGTCTTCAACACAGTGAGAATGAGAGTTCAGACGCAGCTAACAAGCGTTGAGAAAAGCATGAGATTGAGCTTGTGAGCTAGAGTAGAGAAGGCCTACAGAGCAGCAGCAGGCATTGCGGCTAAGAGTAGATGTAGAACACCGCCGGCCCAGCCAGGATGATGCCTGACGGCAACTGGCACTACGTCAGCATGATGTGGCGCTTCCAGAACAACAAACGTCAAACAACAACAACACATCTATAACAACGAGACAGACACACACAGACACAGACATAGAGAGACAGACAGAGACAGGCAGACGGAGACAGCCTACTGAAAGGTAGACGTCACTAAATAAAACGGTATGCAAAATTACAAAATGTACCACAGCAATGCTGGCCAGCCAGTTAGGAAGGAAACATACCGATGATCTCATACGTTGGAGTAATAATATAATGGTTTTGAACACACGACAGAGCAGTTTACTAATAATATTATTAGAGTCACATGCGCGGCTCAATCATGACTAGTGATGACGTTATGTGCTGAAGTATGCGCAGTGCCTCGGAAAGTATGTGCATATAGCCATGTACATGTATGTGTGCCTATGGGCCTACGCTCGATATAAGACGGCAGAACAAACTGTACTGCATGACCTTGTAGCGCTGTGGCTTTGATGCACGTAGATGCTTGTCACTATCGGCATCGTAAACTATCGTATGTACAGCGGAGATAAACTCGGCAGGAGAGCTCATCTCAAACTGTGTGTGTGCGGGTGCATGTCAGTGTGTCTACATGCTCAACATGTCACACACACAGACAGTCAAGTGGCAGCGAAGCCAACGGATAGTCACCAGAAAGCAACAATGCTACGTGGCTACTAGTGGAGTCACGCACACAGAATCAAACTCAAATCTCAAGCGCTTACGGCGTAAGCGCCGGTGAAAACATGGGGGCACAGCACTCAGCAGCGGCAGTGTTCATCACCCTATCGAAACTGATCAGCCAACGGATACACGGATACGTGGGTGGCTGGGTAGCTGACAGCAGAAACCAGCCAGCCAGAATGACCTACAATGAGGATGGATGACGTACGGTAGCGGGCAGCGTTCCTGGCTACAAGCAAAACCGGATGGTGGAACTAGATTATCCACCATCCACCGTCCGGCCAGGAACAAGGTAGCGGGTAGTCGTGGTGGTGGTGGTGGTGGTGGTAGTCGTGGTGGTGGTAGTCGTGGTGGTGGTGGTGGTAGTCGTGGTGGTGGTGGTGGTGGTGGTAGTCATGGTGGTGGTGGTGCTGCTGGTGTTGGCAGGTACACACCAGCACAGAGCACGGCTGCAGCATTCGAACCAACTGCACAGTACAGCCCTAGCTGAATGTGCCAGAGAACGACTCGCAGCGAATCAAGCCGGTATGCTACACCTCCAAAAAACTCACCCTCGTGACTGGCACGTAGAGACACACTCCACCATGAGCGGAGTCAGAATATTGTGGTAGGAGTGTGTCAGCTAGAAACCGACGACAATTTCGATCCTGTTCTCCATGGATGAAGCACAGGTGGAAGTACACCGTCGTTACGTAGCCAGCTCATTGAAGAAAAACACACGTGCACATGGATGCACAGTGCAAACCACGCAGATGCCTAGACAACACTGCCAGCAGGTTGAGCGGCCGCCCCACCACTGGTTACGACCGGCACGGGCTGTGTGACGTGGTGCTGAATAGGTCCCAACTCAATGCTACTGCCGGCCGGGTAGCCATTGTCTCGGCCAGCAGCCACCGCGTCGGCAACACCCTCCTCCGTGATCTCGATGTCTAATTGCTCGTCGGAACTCTTGGGCTGAATATCCGAGCTTTGACTTGCCATGTGTTGTCGCTGATAGCCACCGAGTGGTGGCGGTATGAAGCCAGGCTGGCGGGGATACGATGCACCGTGTGTGGAGTCAATCACCTCGATAGCTACAGTGATGGCACACACACACACACACACACACAGACCGTAGGAGAAAAAAAAGAACATTTACTGTGATGCAACGATACGACAGCACTCGTAAAGTGCACATGCCCATGCGTTCACACGTATAATTATGTGTGTAAGCGTGCGTACGGGTTCGTGCAGGATCACACATGTACGCTCCACTATGCTGCAAGGCAGCTACCTTGGCACAAGAAGCACACAGCACACACAACAATCACTGTCAACACACCGAGCACTGCTAGTACTTACCATCTGCATTACGCATGTTCATGTTGATACGCTGCAGCTCCATCTCGCCAGCACTCTGCACTTGCTGTGTTTGCAGGTTGCGACGACGGTGAGCCTCACGACGCACCTTGCGGACGTTGATGGCGGGCACTACGCACTGGGTGAGGAACGCGATGAGTCCACCAACGAAAACAACCAGGGATGCTATGCTGATGTTGGCGATGACACGAGTGGTGAAGTATTGCGGTTCTGGCGGCCCGATGTCCGGGTTGGCTGAAGATGCCGATGTTAGGTCCACTGCTGTGCCGTCGACTAGGTGATTACATGATGCGCCGGAGTAGCCCGCATAGCAATTACACTTGCGGGTACCTGTAGAATGTACAATGTATACACATGCACGCAACAACCCACGTACACCCACATGCACACACACACACACACACACACACACACACACACACACACACACAGAAAAAAGAACGGAAATAGATCTTTCAGCCCAACCAGCCCCGGCAGTATCAGCAATACTACCATCAAAGGTAACAAGCTATACACAACTTCCATCATCAGAGCCAGGGAATGCTTGAACAAACTAAGCCATAATTATCAGACTCATAGAGGGTATATAGCAAGATGTCATGGTCAACAGACTTTCTTTCTCTCACTTAACCGGCACTACATATAGCAGATTGCATTATGGGTGCAAAGTACTAGAGTGGCAAAACAGGAAAGGAGCGCCAAACCAGCACTAGCACATCACAGCGTTGTGGCTTGTTCAACCCCATACAAAGCATCTCAACACATAACCTGTACAGGAAGCCACATCCAGCACCTTGCAAGGCCAGAGAGCTGACTAGCACTCGCACCACAACCATCAGTACCACCAGCGCCACCACCAGCACAACCAGCACCACACTCACCACCTACATCCACCACCGGCACCCACAACCAGCACCACCAGCACTTACAGCCAGCATCACCACGACCACCACCACCAACAACAACAACAGCACCAGCACCGCCACGACCACCAACCGCTACCCTCACACTCACCGCTACCCTCACACTCACCGCTACTCTCACACTCACCGCTACCCTCACACTCACCGCCACCCTCACACTCGCCGCCACCCTCACACTCACTGCCACCCTCACACTCACCGCCATCACAACTTACCAGACTCCAGCTGACAGTCGCCATGCCAGGAGCAGTTGCCAGGGCAACGCGACACGGCACAGAATAGGCTGGGCGAAGGACAGACAATACCGCCATTGTACTGGATGGTGTTGATGGTCAAGGAAAACGGAATAGTTTGACCAACTGTCTGGCACTTCAGTGCTACATTACCAATCTGTAAGACACACGGCAGCGGTATAAGCAGAAGCCGTGCAAGGAGCAGCAGCACAATCACCAACAGCAGCACAAACAGCACAGCCATCAACAGCAGCACAAACAGCACAATCATCAACAGCAGCACAAACAGCACAATCATCAACAGCTCTTATTGGCGATGGTGCCATCGTGAGAATAAAGAATTCAAACAGCAGCACAAACAGCACAGTCATCAAAAGCACAATCAGTAAAGCAGAAGCAGCACCAGCAGCAACAGTTCATAACGAGCCGAAGCCAAGGGCCAACTCAGTGATTCAACTACGAACACAACCCACTAGTAGTCCAATGGTACCGAATAGCATGGACCAAAAAGCAAACGAAAGTCACGTGGATTCAACAAAAATTAACAACGGCATTCTTCGGGAAGAGTTGGACAGTGATCAAATGCATAAGTGACTACGACTGGGATAAAAAAAAACACTGAACACCAACACTGGGTATGGGTATGGGTATGGGTGCTCAATCTAACACTACATCCCAACCCACAGCGCCATGCTTCAGTCAGTTTGTTGACGTGTCCTGAGCAAGAGGCAGTCCCCCTCAGACATGCTGTGATGAGGCAGGATCATACTAGGATGTATAGTAAGATTAATACAAACATCCATAGTCGGCAGCTAGAGTACCGTACTTCCCCAAATATATGTCACACTCCTTTACACTAAACTCCAGGGCCAACAATCGAGCATGATCTACTACTGAAGTGAATGTATTGAAACGAGATGACATAGACCTGAAAACGGAGATGCGACTTACAATCGAGTGCGACTTACAATCGAGTGTGATTTATAATCGAGTGTGACTTACAATCGGGGGAAATACGGTATTCTTACTGCTACAATCCTAGTACACTCACCCATATCCGTAATGAGCCGTCGGCAGTGCATTCGCGTCGATAGCAACCCGCACCGTAGTAGCGAATGTCGCTGGCCTCGGTCTGCACTTGGTACACACCACTGTCGTCATTGGGTAGGCGACGCCAGAGCTCAGAATGTTCCACGCACAGCGATGACGCGGAGTATTGCTCCTATCCATACATATACGCACACACACACGCACACACACACACAAACACACATGCACACACACGCACACACACACAAACACACACACGCACACACACGCGCACACACACACACACGCACGCACGCGTGTACACACACACACACACAGACGGAGAGAGATTCAGAGAGAGCAGACGATTGAACCAATGGAACACGTAAAGACAAACTAAGCAGCCAGCCACATAAGGAGAAAACACAATTATTCTCTTGCAGGCACACCTACTGGTAGAGAGGAACACAGAAACTGACACCCCAATCAGCAACCCACTCAGTCAGTCAGGTATACACATGCACACACTTAAACATATTCACCCACCGTCACATACTCATCCAGCAATGGCCAACACTCAACCCCCTAACCATGCATCAGCCAAACACTTACCCCTTACTCACTTACTTGCTCACTCACTTACTCACTCACCCTCTTAGTCATCCACTCGTTCGTTCACTCACTCACTCACACACTCTGACTCACTCACATACTCACTCACACACTCACTCACCCATTCACCCACTCACTCACTCAACCACTCACTCACTCACTCCCTCACTCAACCACTCACTCAACCACCCACTCACTCACTCATTCACTCACCCACTCACTCATTCACTCACTCACTCAACCACTCACTCATTCACTCACCAGTGCCCAGTTGACTGCTGGAGCAGAGGAGATACCATCACATAGAGACACAAAGCCTGCAGAAGGACTGCTGCTGCTACTGCTACTGCTGCTACCGTTGGACAAGAATGGTGAGAATGTGGGGCAGTAGTCCGACGCTGGATCAGCCGACGCCTGGACATCACTATCCTGGAAATAGGTGTACGCTGATCCTTGATGCTGGGTGGACGTCTTCACGAGATTGCACGCCGTGATGCGCTGACGCGAGGCCGAGCATCGTGCAAACGGTGCCACTGACGACGTCGAAGAGGAGGATGAGGTGGTGGTGGACGACGGTCGTACGATATTGCAGAACGGCAGAGCAGCTACAGAGCTGGGCTGCGGATCGGTGGCCCACGCTGCACTGACTGCCGAGAACGCTGAGACGACGCTCTCGTTCACGTGCGGGTAGGAGACAAGAGACATGTTCGGCATGGACGTGTTGACATAGCTGAGGCAGTCGTCCTCGACGAAGGCACAGCCGCGCGCTGAGCCATGGTGCAGTGTGAACGCCCGGTCATAGTCAACAGAATACCAGCCAGTGTCTGCCAGCGCGGACAGTGTCAAGCGAGAAACAACGGGACTCTGCAATCAACCAGCCACACACACACATCCATGCGTACGACCCCGGGCATGCATGCACACACACGCATGCACGCACACACACACGCATGCACACATACACACACACACACACACGGAGGTCATCTAAGATCAGGCACTGCTCAATCCGGGTATAGTGAGACCAGACACTGCTCAATCCGGGTATTGCGGGAACCGGTACTGCTAGTGAGATTCAACTTATAGAACACGGTAGACTGGGAAACACTACGCAGCGATCTAAGCACAAGAACAAAGACTAAACTAGGAGGGGTAACGTGCTGATGACAGCCTACCTCATATAGAAGCTTGCAATAAAATATCAGACTGATTTTTAAAACAGAGAAAGGTTCCAGGCTGTCCAAGAGAGTGCTCAATACCGAGTGGTAGAGCTGGTTCAAACAATAGGAGGACAGAGAAAGTGTTTTTACCCCGAGTTTCACGCACTAAGCGATCATCAGAAAACAGTAATGAGAAATCTGGATCTGAGACTGATTTTTAAGATGGAACATCGGCATATAACCTTGGTACATTGAAATACAGGGTTCGAATACAAGCCTGATTTGAGTAGAAGCCTAGCACCGATATTGGCTTCTACTTGAAAATTCCAGGCCTTTACTGGTGACATAAATAGAGAGGTTAAGATGCACGTTATTTCCGACGTGACGCGAAAGTTAAGCTCGCACGTCGAAAAATCAACGCGAGTGACCTGCTGCTCACGTCGAAATTTGGAGTTTTACGCCAAATTTGACGTGAAATTGCGCGTCACGTCGGAAATAACGTGCATCTTTTAAACCTCTCTAATGTTTTCCATCTACACGTGAAGCAGTACATACCAGTCGTGTTGAGGGCAGAAACGAGCGGAGTGTGAGCAGCTCGGACGGGCCGGCCACGCGCATCTCAAACAGATCCGCGGAGCGGTTGGCATAATCCTCCATTGGCATGCCGGTCAGAGACTGGCAGCCAAAGTGACGCCTCGCCTCTGCGAGTACTGCCGGTGTGCGAAGCTCGTAGTAGCGGCGCTGAGGCGAAAAGGAATCGGACAGAATCACAACACAAGAACAAGACGCTGATTACACAACTAAAACTTTTTTCAAAGCAGCATTATAGAAAAAGGAAAGTTCACCTCCGTCCCGATACGTGAGTCATGGGGCGGACAACACTAGGAAATCACAGTGAAACCTGGTCTAAGCCAGACACATCAGCGTGGTCGCCTTGACCGGTTTTACTGTACTAAAATTGTAGTACATTGGAACTTTGGAAGTATCCTTGAGCGGTCGCCTTAGACAAGTGTCACTGTGCATGTAGAGATTCATAAAAAATGACGCGAAATTCTGTCGGGACAGCACCCACGCTAGTCGAGCTGTACATGTACGCTTTTGGATTGATATGTACTCTTGCTCATACATGTACTGTAGTGTCACTGTACATGCACATGTACCTGTAGCTGAAATCATGACACACTGGCACTGCCCCATTACAGTGAAACATGTCTAAGGCGACCCCTCAAGGGACGAGAAAAAGTGGTTGCCGTGGCCAGGTGGTTTTCTTATCCAGGTTCAGCGGGTCACGTGACCATATCCACATGTGATACATCATTTTAATCAGTGTATCACAGTGCACACGCCTACGCTACTCTAGCACGACTCATGTGCCTGGGGTCCTCAGACCTGTCAAGTGTCGTGCATGCACCATGCACATCTACACTTCCTGCACTGATGTGTAGATCTACCATGCATGATGCACCGTGCAATGCATACATTTACAGGTACTAGCACTGTGCAACGCGGTCGCGGGTGGGTGGTCGCCGGTCGCGTTGAGCGAGTGGTCGCCTTATCCGAGCTGTTTTGAATGTGAATGCGTCCGTGACAAGGAAATGTGGTCGCCATGGTCGAGTGGTCGCCTTATCCGAGCTGTTTTGAATGTGAATGCGTCCGTGACAAGGAAATGTGGTCGCCATGGTCGAGTGGTCGCCTTATCCGAGCTGTTTTGAATGTGAATGCGTCCGTGACAAGGAAATGTGGTCGCCATGGTCGAGTGGTCGCCTTATCCGAGCTGTTTTGAATGTGAATGCGTCCGTGACAAGGAAATGTGGTCGCCATGGTCGAGTGGTCGCCTTATCCGAGCTGTTTTGAATGTGAATGCGTCCGTGACATGGAAATGTGGTCGCCATGGTCGAGTGGTCGCCTTATCCGAGTGGTCGCCATTACAGGCTTTACTGTAGTCTCTTTCCCATCTCTTCAGGATATACAGCACTACCGGTTGTCGAACAACCCAACTCAGGCCAGGCAATGGCGGAGAAGAGCACAGCGCGACAGCAAACCATCACTGACCTGGTTACCGCCTGGGCCATTCTGCGATACTTCAGCCAGAGTAGTCGACGCCACGTTGTCAGGACCGGGACCAACAGGCTCGTTCTGCGAGCCACGCGGTGTTAGAGCTGTGTTAGATACTGGGTCACGCCAGTAGGCAAACTCCGTGCTCGACACGCCGAGAATGCGGATGAGTTGGCGTTGCACCTGCAACAATCATGCACACATATGAACACACGTGTGCACACACATACACACACATGCACGCACGGATGCACACACGCGCACATACACGCACGCACACACACACACACACATGCAAACACACAAACGGACACACACACACCATCATCTCATTATTTCGGTATGGAACGGCGTACTTTGCGTTGGGTAGCTTCACGCTTCACCAGCTAATTTCTATAGTTTGAACATTGAACACTCTCAGTGCTAGTAGTAAAGACACAGCCTCATTAGCCGAAACAGCAGGCCGTCTGCAGCACTGTGTGCACGCCTAATTTCATAGGATTTCGTACACCAAGCCCAGCATGCTAAATTATTTCCCTACAAAAATCTGTGTTTGCCCAGTACGTGATTCACTGCCAGTGCTACCGGTATGTCACCTAAACAGAACAGTTCATGTTTATGAGTCAGCTGGACGTACCAGTGGCTGTATGCACAAGCAATACTCGTACATAACGACATACATGTTTGTTCGCGTATTTGCCCGTACATGTACGTACACACACACACACACACACACACACACACACACACATGTGTTGGTGCGCGCGTTCGTGTGTGTACGCACGATTGCTTGTGTATGTGTTTGTGCATGGGCCCGCACAAAATATTCAAGTGTGCTCTGAAAGCACGTTCTACCTTGCATGGCCATACCACAGGTACTACCGCCAGGCATACACATAGAACCCAGCACCCCGGCATGCACACCTACCTCAGACACTTGATACGCTAGGTCAGCCTTGGCCAATCCCAACCGATCCGGACAGACCGCCATCCAGCCGGCATTCGGCCGATCCGTCGGCCCGTAGCGCAAGCCACAGGACGAGCCATACGACAAGCTACCCGAATCCGTCACCAGGTCGCACCGATTCACGACATACACCACCAGGTCCGTACTGGGTAAGCCGGGAGAATCCGCGGCGACATCGTTCGGGTCCGAATCACAGCTCAAGATGGTCGGCCTACTCAGGAAGCAGAGTTGACATTTCTCCAGATGCTCGGCAGGTACCTGCGGTATAGCGGGCCCGCAGGAGGTGTAGTTACGGCACGCGGCTGGCTCTCGGCAGAAGTACTGACGCAGGTTGGAGGAGGCCGATGGCGTGTACTGCACGACGCCCTGGCATGCGCGATTCAGACGCAGTGGCTGGCTGGACGGCTGCAGCACGGTCAGAGTTTGCAGGGCCCAGTCACGTGATGCAGCGAGGACAGCCTCCAGTCTGCCTTGCTGAGCAGCAGAAAGCTGCGTGGAGTTGGCTGCTGACAGCTGATGGAACGTAACTCGCAGTGAGTGTGCTGCTGGTGTCGACTGCCTACGGGTACGAAAACTTTCATCCAAGCTCACCACACACGTAAAGCAATAAGCCCACAGCAGCAGCACTGTAACGACACGCCGGAAGTGCAAGGCACTGGTGCCGGGTCGACATTGAGCACGACACATCAGGAGAGATTGGGATCGCAAAAGTACAAATGTGGAATGTCGATTCCCCAAACTCTGCTATACACAGCACTGGCCTGCAACAGTCACGTCCAAGCTTGATTTACCTCACGCCATGGCAGAATCCCTACTGCAATCTGTGCCGATCTTCCTCGCGTGGCCTGGGCCATTTAGCATGCCAGCAAATTCACTCACAGAATCACAATACCTCAGCTACAAAATCAACATCTTCATTCAAAACAAAAAGTGCACAGTAATCAGTTTCAAACCGTTCAGTGACTTCGTCAGCGAACTTCCTGTTTCCTATGCTCCTCTATTAGTATTACTAGAAGAATGGAGGCTTCGGGAGTGGGTGTTGCGCTCAAGTGAACATCAAAACAGAAGCCAACCATTACCTCAAACTAAAAAAAAAAGCCACCGGGTGCACATCCATCCAAGCATGCATTCAAAACAAGGACCCGTACAAACACGGGGGTTTGTATGTGTACGACTCGATCGCGAGGATCAGGACGCGACTCTCGTCGATCTCGCGTTCAAAAGCATGCACTCACGACTTGAAAAAGTGTGGGAAAGTTTTGCTGGGTGCAGCCTCGATCAGGGAGTCGTCAAATACCGGGAGTGGAAACGAGATGCGCGAGCGTGATCCATGCTCGCCTCGCCTGGAGCACGCCGATTTTTTCCAAATAATCTTTTTTGTGCCACATTCACCAATTCCGCGGGATTTTCAAAATGTCAAAATCTATTTTGGTTCTTCCTGCAAGCGGAGCAGTTTTGACGTCTCCATACATAAACCTTCTCGTCAGATTTCCGCTTCCCTTTTGTAGTATTATCACTCTTCGTCGTGGATTCGTCGGCAGTGCATGGTCATGCTGGACAGGGAGATATCGGTAGCCATTTTACGAGTGATGTTTGGAACTTTGGCGAGAGGTGAGTAAAACCAAGCTTTATCGAGTGAATACTTCTATCACTGAATAGCTTTGTTTTGGTTTGTTACACACGCATGCTGCATGTACAGAGCATTCGATTTATCAACCTCCAGTCAAGTACAGACCCAGGGAAACTTCTGTTGCAAGGGCCATCCACTACGCCGTGAAGTTGAACAGCCCCGAAGTTGTAACCTTTTATCTAAGATTGACATATTTTATCGTGATGTTGCACATGCTGATCGTCATCGCCGAACTGACCTGTTGAAGATGGTGAAGAGGAGTAAGGTTGACACTATTAATCTGGCCTGGACGTCTCTCCTCGAGAAACTGTCCAAGTTGCCAAGTCATGAGAAAATGGATGTCCTGGGTGAGTATCATCTCTTTTACTTGCCTAATGATCGTGCATAAATGTGAAACTCGTAAAAAGAAATGCAATGGTAGATTTAAGAAACTATGTGATGGTCAGGAATCAGGATACACATGGCATTATCTACCTGGATGAATACTTGTGACAATTTTAATATAGAAATACTGCGCTGTTTTCCGTGTGCGTTTTGTCCAGACCTGGAGACCACATCAGCTGTGTTTTCAAGTTTAATTTGCGGTACAGTAGTGGCAAGAAAGCCGTCCATCATGCCAGCATCATCCGCAGCAGCAACAGCAGCAGCAGCACCCCAGCCCACCGCCATAGTCAACTGCACTGCAGAGACACCAAAAAGATACCATGGTGGTTGGTATGTTGTTGCGGTGAGAAGAGAACTGGAAGCTAGCAGAAAGCCTGAGTTAACTAGCGTCAAGCCGGTGTTGGCGACCTTCGGCTATGAAATTCTGGCCAACATGTCTCCGAATCTACCAAACTTTGAGAAGATAATTGAATCTGAGACACATGAGCATCCACCATGTGTGTGTTCGTGTGTGTGCATGCACAGCGTGGGCATGTCAGTATGTGTGTGTATGTGTGTGTGTGCTGCCAAAGATGTCTCTCTTGTCGTGCCGATTGAATATGGTCCCTGATCTCTTGGCAGACTGCCGACTTTCTGCCGTCGCTCGGCGTTTCCATGTTGTCGGCCCCGCAAGGGGACAGGTGACCGTAATGGCAGTGTTTACCAGGACCAGGTTTGTGTGTATGTGTGTGTGTGTGCATGCATGCATGTATTCCAGTGTGTGTGTATGTGTGTGAATGTGCGTGCATGCGCAGTTCGTGCATGCCGTGTGTGTGCATGTACAGTTTGTGCATGCCAATGAGTACGTGCGCACCCGTATATTGGTGCGTGCATGTGCGCATGCGTAACTGCTGACACCCAAAGTTGGCAAAAAGAAGCGAGACAGAAAGGGAGAGGGATTTAGAACAGTTTAATTCGGTGTGCATTGTCAATTCTGTGATACTCGCCACAATCGGCCAAATCTGTAATTGGATTCTCAGTGTTGGTGGTGCATATACGTTGTCATGCTTCCTCTTGACATGAGACGTACTGAAAGCGGTGATGTTCTCTTACACTGAAGAAGAAAACAAGAGAAATTCCTTGACTTTATAATAATGTTGTCGTGATTTAAAAATCAATAATGTTTTAGAAACGAAGGGTCCCTCAAAAAGTCAGTGGCATACCATCTTACACCGAGAAAATTCACAGGTAGCACGTATATGAAAAGGACAATGGTTACGAGAAGTTTTTTCGTGGGTCGAACCAAGTGGCTTTGATTACTGAGGCTGAGCTATTTTCCTCGATAAATTACATCAAAAGTCACGTCACTATCCGCGCGTGAATCGGGCCTCCAGTCATACATCGCAACACTGCGATAACGCCTACCGATAAATTAGGTGTCCTCCTACTAGTAAACGAGCAGACCACTGCAAATATCTCTGTATACACGTTCTGATGGACGCTTTCTCCAAAAAAATACTCAAGGCTACTCTAAATTGCATTTGACGACGCTGAGGTACTCAAGGCACCGCAAAAATTTTGCGCGAGGCGAGCATGGATAATCAAGATTAACGGCGTTTCCACTCCCGGTATTTGACGACTCCCTGGCCTCGATCGATAAGGATCGGAACGCACCATGGATACCAATATGGCGAATGGTGTCAAGCATTTTTTCAAAAAATGCCGTCATTCGTCAGCAGGATTTTTTCTGACTATATTTTTCATTCCCGAAGTACTGTTGTGTAGCTTTTCCTTCGACCTTCATTGCATTCAGTGCTAAAACTTCCAAAGCTGTTTAGCTGTATATACTATAATTAATTTCAAAGAGGAAAACTGTAACAACTTGCTACTTGAGTACAATGTAGTATGGGTTCCGACTTACTCTTGTTGTTTGTAGCGGATTATTAGTGTGAACTTCATCTTGGTGCCGTCATGGCAGGCCGAGGTCGAGGCCGCGGACGCGGTACTCCCATGGCAGCGATCGCGGATACCCTGGGATTAGGCCGTGGTGAGCTTGCTGGACTTGCTGGTCTCATGCAGCCTCCTCCACTCTACCCGGTACGTAGCTATTCCTATTTGCTGAGTGAAAAACACTCACACGCACACACACACACACACACGCGCGCGCACGCCACACACACACACCACACGCACACACACACATACATACATACACACACGCACACACACACACACACACACACACACGCACACATAATATGTGCGTTAGCAAACATGCACTGCACCGGAGTTTTCCACAATGCCAATGGATTGTAAAGAGAATTTGAAAACGCAGCTGCAGCTGTGTTTATCTCCCCACATTGCCACCATCAATCTGCACCTACATATACAATGTAGCACACTGTTGATGTGCAAGTCCACAATCACAATCATTGCCCCAACGAGTGAAGCTATGTGTGAATCTCTCAAGAGAGGGGAGATAAGTCTGTAGTGTGAGCTGCATGTTGTACATGGATTCGTCAATGTCTGCCTTGTGCTAATTGTATCTATTCTGCCCCCCCCCCCCTCTCTCTCTCTCTCTCTCTCTCTCGCTCATGCACCACACTCACTCACTCATTACTAGCCTCGTGAGTTCAATGCCTTACCAATGGAGCCTGACAAGGAGCGCTCTGCATGTGCGACGTTCGCTCAGCACTTCCGCCTAGCTTGCCGCAAACAGCCGTATTACATCCGAAAACCAGCTGAGAAAAAGGGTTAGTGGGAGCATAGATTTACTAGATAGACTTGCACTCTTTTGTGGTTTGTTTCTTTCAACTTGCAAATGTAACTAGTGTGTGTGTGTGTGTGTGTGTGTGTGTGTGTGTGCGTGTGTGTGTATGTGTGTGTGTGTGTGTGTGTGTGTACGTGTGTGTGTGTGTGGCAGCTAGGTCAGTTTCTGGGTGCGCTTGTGCCGGAAAGGGGTCGTGCATGTTGCCATATTTTGGTTTGAGTGCTTGAAGGTGTGTTGGTGTGCTTGCCACCAGTGTTGGTTCCAGGCTACATTATATTTTTGATTTGAAACTTACTTCTGGACTTCTTCTGGCTAGTGTAAATCAACAAATATCCGGCGCATACCGTAAAGTCTTGTATAAAAGCCGCACTTGAATAGAAGCCGGAATTTTGGGCCCATCAAATCACACATAAGCCTGGTTTTAGTGTTGACATACATAGAAATACCTGTCTTGTATAGAAGCCTGTCTCATATAGAAGCCTGCAAAATTTCACGAAGAAAGTCGTAGAAGCCGCGGCTTTTATACAAGACTTAACGGTATTTATTTTCGGCTATTGTCGGCCTGGTCATAGAAGGCCGAAATTTTGCTGCAGCCGAAATTTTGTTTTGCAAGGTTCAGTGTGACAGTGTATCCGGGCAGCAGCAGTACAGGCCGAAAATTTAATGCGGCCGAAATGTGCTTTAGCCCCGGGAGGCCGAAATTTGAATGGGCAGAAAATTTGTAGACTTACAGTAGATGAATGCTTGGTCGTCAGTGATGCTGGCTATAAAGCTTGTGTCAGTTTGATAGGCAGAGAGCTAGCAGTGTTACGATTGGCAGACATACTAAATCACTAATGTTATTATAGGCAGAGGTGGCAGTGTGATTGCACAGACAATGTTACTCTTGATTAATATTACAGTAAAACCTGTAACTAACGACCACCCCTTGGGGCCAGAGAAAGCGGTCTCTTGTGGCAGGTGGTCCTTAGTTAGAAGTTTGCATTGCACAACCATAATGAATGTGAGACCGTCCGTACCTGGTGAAGTGGTCTGTAGTACCAGGCTGGTCTCTAGTCACGGTGGTCTTTCGTTACAGGTTCTACTGTACACAGAGGCAGTGCGCCTTAACCTGCAATCGTGCTCAAATGCCCGAAATGGGCAGAGCATAGTACGCAAGAGGTACACAAAAGGAAGTAAAATAGGGCTGTTTTCGTTGCTACTCAGAGTTTCATGCCAAAAACCAATCATCAGACAACAGGTTATGCTGTTCTTACACATTCAGTACTCGAATTGCATGACTTTTCATGCGTGTGTGACTTATCATGGATATGTTACTTACCGTATGTCCGCACCATTAAAGCCATGGCGGTGTATTCGATTATAAAGCCAGTCTCAGTTATAAAGCCATGGGCTTCATAAATGAAATGACATTTGAAGTATGTTTTGTAAAAATGAAGGAATAAGTACTATGCTAATAAACTTACAGCCCAGCAGGAAGGTGTGAACAAGTAGATTTAGATTGAAATTTCTATATGAACTTTGACTCTCATGGCATGGCGTAGTGGGCGAGTCAGTTTGCGTATAAAATAGCCAGGAGAGCAGCGGTGTTTCGAGTATACGGCCGTGACTTTAATGACATACGGTACCAGTTATCACAGGTGTGTGACTTATTGCAGAAGTCAGACTTACCGTGGGCGTGTTACTAGTACTTATCACATGTAGATTGTACAGTCGTCCCTCTCTAATCCAGCACCCTCGATAAACCAGCACAATTTTCAGTAGCCAAAAAGTCCTCTTCATGTACATTGCAGCAGAAAATCAGATTTGTTAATCCAGCAGCCTCCCTAATCCAGCAGAATTGCCGTGGCACAAATGCTGCCGGATTATGGAGGGACCACTGTACCAGTATGATTGCATGTAGGGGTTTAACTTTATTGTTGTTGTCGTAGTGGTTATTTTAATTCGCAAACCAAACGGGCTGATCTGCCCAGTGAAGAGGTGGCGAGTGCAGATAGAAAAAAAGGAAAAAAAGTTCACGGTTCGCGTGAGACTCGGCTGGAAGCCAGGCTTTCCGCATCCGTAGGAACGCCACCACCCTTCAAGGATCAAGGCGCAGATAGAAAGCAGTAAATTAATGAAACTGGGGAGGGATGTAATAAGGATAGAGGTGAAGAGAATCTACTAAGCCAGCGGATCATCAAACAGGACGTTTGATACTCTAGGTACTAAGGGTGTGCGGGATCTTGCTGGCCCAGAATTGGCGGAGCGTGAAGATGGCACGTATATCGCTGGGTAAGGTGTTCCACAGTTGGGCGCCCCGGAACGCGAGGCAACCCTTGCCGAACCTGGTGCAAACTGGCGGTTGGCGCAGACCCATGGTGGAGTGCAACCTAGTTGGGCCTACTGACGAAGGAACTAGGCGAGCTTGCAGATCAGAAATTGCGAGACCTCCAGACAAGAACGGTAAACTTCTGCCTGAATATCTCGGATACTCTGTATGTGTTCAATTTCAGCAGGAGGGTGTGTGCGGAGGTGTGATGCGGGAGTGCCTGTGGTGCCGCATATGAACAGCGGAGGCCATATGTACGGTTCCCAGTGACCTTGGCGCGGGGACAGTCCGTGCTACATGGTCCTTGGCCATGCACTTGAAACATGTCTGGGGCTGTCCGTGGTGGTATGTACAATACTTCTTTCACACTACTAGTACTACCGATAGTACTGTTTCCCGTGCGTATTCTGCACCGTACGGGGTTTTCAAAACCATGCTCACTCGGCGAACCCAGGTGAGAATTTTCACGCCATCATGAAAAATGGATTCTCTTTGCACCTCGTCAACTAAGTTAAGCTTCCAAATTCCCCATGGGCAGAGCAAATGTGCCCGTCATGTAGAGTAGGCTCGCAGCCGGACACATTCACTGTCACAGCGGCAACAGAGCCGTCTCTCGGTAGTACACTCACCGTGTTGCCGTCGACGACCACGCCAGTGTCAACCAGCTCGTCACGCAGGGGAGCATTGCTGACGGTGAGGACACAAGTGCCAGGTCTCCTGTGGAGGTCGATTTGCAGTACCTCCTTCAGGGAATGTCCAGCAAGGACTAGTGCTTTCGCAATAACCAGATGAGGCGTCTTCCGGTCGCAGGGGAAGTGTGCCACTGGCCTCTCCATCGGAGCTCAAAATTCTCAAACTGTCTCTCAACACAAAAATGTATACGTCTTCTGCAAATGCTGTGTTTCTTTGCTTGCATTTGTTTTGCAGGAGTTGATCGGTACACTGACCGTTACCGTGAGGTATCTCATGTCACTGATAACACCATTGGCTGGACACCAAGTAAGAGTCAACCTCCTATCTCTCTCTCTCTTTCTCTCACTCTTTCTCTCACTCTTTCTCTCACTCGTTCTCTCTCTCTCTTTCTCTCTCTCTCTTTCCCTCTCTCTTTCTCTCTCCCTCTCTCTCTCTCTCTCTCTCTCTCTCTCTCTCTCTCTCTCTCTCTCTCAGCCGTTGGTTGATTGATGATCATTGCTTACTACTCTACATACCTGTGTTTGCTTGATCTCTAGACTGGTCTAAAATGCCAGCCGAGTTGCGCATCAAGGTTCGCTCTCGTCGCCCTGGAGGAGGTTAGTCCGATTGTTGGAGAGATCAATTTCTTATTGGTTTGGATGTCTCTGCGCATCATTTCTCAGTATAGCCAAGAGTATAGCCCCCACCCCTACGGAGTGGGCAACTCTGCATAGGGTTTTTTTTGCGATGGCAGAAACTCACATGACGTGCTCACAACTATTTGCATTACGATGAAGGCCAGTGTGCGCACTGTCTAGGCGTCGTATCTGCCATGATCAGCTGAAAAGTTCAGTTGGAACTTATCAGCTGATCATGCAAACAGTTACTCTCTGTGTACTTGCATGTCAGCTTTCAAGTGCAGGATGATTAAATGTTATTGTTTCTTAATTTCTTATTTTGTTGCTTTGTTGTTTGGCCCCATTTAGCTCAAGTGAGCAAGAGCATGCGACCGAATTTGGCCGCTAATCGCAAAAGAACGGGCAACGTTGATGTGAAAAAGACGTTAGAAGTGAGTGTGCTTATATGGCAGCGTTTTTGTCGTGTCTGTGCTGTTTGCTGATCACTCTTCCACTTTAGTTCAATGGTGAATACAGTGACACGTGTGTGACCGGACACTGTGCCAAGCAGGGTCCTGTATTGACCGGACACTGTGCCAAGCAGGGTCCTGTATCGACCGGACACTGTGCCAAGCAGGGTCCTGTATTGACCGGACACTGTGCCAAGCAGGGTCCTGTATTGACCGGACACTGTGCCAAGCAGGGTCCTGTATTGACCGGACACTGTGCCAAGCAGGGTCCTGTATTGACCGAACACTGTGCCAAGCAGGGTCCTGTATTGACCGGACACTGTGCCAAGCAGGGTCCTGTATCGACCGGACACTGTGCCAAGCAGGGTCCTGTATTGACCGGACACTGTGCCAAGCAGGGTCCTGTATTGACCGGACACTGTGCCAAGCAGGGTCCTGTATTGACCGGACACTGTGCCAAGCAGGGTCCTGTATTGACCGGACACTGTGCCAAGCAGGGTTCTGTATTGACCGGACACTGTGCCAAGCAGGGTCCTGTATTGACCGGACACTGTGCCAAGCAGGGTCCTGTATTGACCGGACACTGTGCCAAGCAGGGTCCTGTGTTGACCGGACACTGTGCCAAGCAGGGTCCTGTATTGACCGGACACTGTGCCAAGCAAGGTCCTGTATTGACCGGACACTGTGCCAAGCAGGGTCCTGTATTGACCGGACACTGTGCCAAGCAGGGTCCTGTATTGACCGGACACTGTGCCAAGCAGGGTCCTGTATTGACCGGACACTGTGCCAAGCAGGGTCCTGTATTGACCGAACACTGTGCCAAGCAGGGTGCTGTATTGACCGGACACTGTGCCAAGCAGGGTCCTGTGTTGACCGGACACTGTGCCAAGCAAGGTCCTGTATTGACCGGACACTGTGCCAAGCAGGGTCCTGTATTGACCGGACGCCGTGCCAAGCAGGGTCCTGTATTGACCGGACACTGTGCCAAGCAGAGTCCTGTATCGACCAGACACTGTGCCAAGCAGGGTCCTGTATTGACCTGACACTGTGCCAAGGAGGGTCCTGTATTGACCGGACAAAATGTTCATGCACCGGCGTGCTGTGGATCGAACTTGCATCCCCGAATCAAGCGGAATCCTGTCATATCAGGACAGTTTCCGCTGCGCCAAGGGTGTCCGTTAGAGCAGGTTTTACTGTACTTTGTGTGGGTGTGGGTGTGTGTGTTCGGGTGCGTGTACTCACCTACTTTCTGCGTGTGGTGAGCTCATACGTGAGATCATTTGCATGTCCACCATGAGTCCGGGGATTTCAGGGGTGTTGGTCGTTGGGCTTTTCAAAAGCCAACGGAGTCATCTTTCCAAGATTCCATTTGAGTCTCGTTCCCCGTGAGGGAGACTAGCATGACCAGTTTCTGGCAGTGAGCACATAGAAGTACATGTACAGTGGGTGTGGGTGGGTGTGGGTGTGAAGGAGTGGGGGGGGGGGGGGGGGGGGGGAGGGGGAGGTTGCATGGTCTGGGTCACAGCACTCGCCACAGCTTACATCCATGTCTGTGTGTCTGTGTCTGTGTGCATGTTGTGTAGATGCTGGAAGCTAAAGAAAAGGAGGATGACAACACAGAGGACAAAGAAGACGAAGATGATGATGCAGTGGACGATGACTATTACAACGAGGAAGACATGGAAGAGGTCTGTACCAACGCAGCAATGTGCATGCACATCTTCTGCGGCCACTTGTTTGCGTGCTGTGCTTCTGTGGATTTGCGTGTGTGGGTGTGCGTGGGTGGGTGGGTGGGTGCACATCCAGTGCATTTGCAGATTTGCGTGCTTCTCTTGCGACGGGCGTATACATGGTACATGGTACATGGTGTGTGTGTGTGTGTGTGTGTGTGTGTGTGTGTGTGTGTGTGTGTGTGTGTGTGTGTGTGTGTGTGTGTGTGTGAGTGTGTGTGAGTGTGCGTGTGTGGGTGGGTGGGTGGGTGGGTGGGTGTGTCGTGGTCGAATCCCGGCATATTTTGAATCTTGCTTGGCATACTGTTCAAGACTGGCTAAGCGCTCACCTGGTCTGCACGGCCTCCATTTTGTGTTAGGGAATATGTTGACTGTGTGTGTGTTTATTGGTCACCCTGCTTTCGGGGACCACCTGTGGTTCAGACCGCAATATACCGGTCCCGTGGCTGCTGGCTTAGACCCGGTGCAGTTCGTGTTTATGCGCATCTTCACTAACTTACTTGTGAAACCTGGTTGAGCGATCCCCTGGTCTGTACCAGCACTTTTTTTGCCATTGAATGTGTTGACTGTGTGCAATGGTCACCCTGCAGTCATTGACCACCGGCTTCACCTGTAATGGTTAGCCCTTGCAATTATGCCAGTGGCTTCAAGTGGTGATATATGCATGTTGTCGTGCTCGATCACACACTTACCAGTACATGTACTTTCTTCAACATCTGGGGCCGTTGCCATGTGCTCGTGTTTGTGTGTCTGTGTGTGAACGCGCACCTCTGTCTATGCGTGTGTGTGTGTGTGTGTCTGTTTGTGTGTCTGTGGACCTCTGTCTATATACAGTGGTCCCTCTATAATCCGGCACCATTTGTGCCACGAAAATCTGCTGGATTAGGGAGGGTGCTGGATTAACAAATCTGATCTACTGCTGCAATGTGCATGAAGAGGACATTTGGCTACTGAAAATTGTGCCGGTTTATCGAGGGTGCTGGATTATAAAGTGCCGGATTAGAGAGGGACGACTGTATATATATAATATATGTGTGTGTGTGTGCGTCTGTGTGTGTTCATTGCATGTGCGATTCCCGACAGAACACGGACTACAACGCCACGTACTTTGATCCTGGCGAGGACTACGGTTTCGAAGACGAGGATGCCATGGATGAACCAGAGTTCTAGTAAGCTGCGCTACGGGTCATCTACTCGCAATACTCATCCATGGTTCTGATCGCCTCCTCAACCAGGGTACATGCCACTGGTGCTCAGGGCCGGGTGTATCATACGTAGTGGACTCTACGTTTTAACTCCTCTTTTTTTGTCCATTGCTGGCGATGGACAATCTTTTGAAGCGTGTGTTTGTGTTTTACCCTCCTGTGCCGTTGACCTAGTATATAGTAGTTTCTTGATATAACCTGTACTTACTTCACTCAGTACTCCATAATTATGAGAATGGTTGTGCTTGTAACTTGTTATCGTGATGAATCAGTTGTATTTGTGTCCATCCTGCCTTGAAGCTTATGCTGTATACATGACCATTGTCACTTGTGACATTCACCACTCTTTATTTCGCTGTTGCTGTGTTGTAGGTGTGTGTGTGTGTGTGTGTGTGTGTGTGTGTGTGTGTGTGTGTGTGTGTGTGTGTGTGTGTGTGTGTGTGTGTGTGTGTGTGTGTGTGTGTGTGTGTGTGTAGGTGTGTGTGTGTGTGTGCGTGTGACGTGGATTATGAGCTGTCGGTGACGAGTGCGATACCGTGAAGACTAATCACGAGTTCTTGCTGTTGTTGTGGACATTGAAATCCGGTGGAATGACCGGGGCTGGTGCCATTACTGCTTCTAGCGCGTACATGCACTGTGTGTGTGTGTGTGTGTTGCGCGTACATGCACTGTGTGTGTGTGTTCACGCACGCACTGTAAAAATGGACCCGCAATGCTCGTGGTCGTTTGATTTCTGCTCGGATTTCAATGTCCACAGCAGTACTTTGAGAATTTGAGTTCAAGTCCTCTATGAGGGACTATCTCAGAAGGGCTTGCTTTTTCCTCAACTTTGGGCTTCACTCGCCTCCCTGTGCAAGCCATGGTAGAATCTGCTTGTCGAATATTTAGTTGGTTGCATAGACATACAACTCTGCTACTGTTACAGTGTAGTCGATCATGCCCATAGGGTTGTGTGCGCATCACTTCACTTCTAACTGCAGATTGCCACATTGTGTACGTAGTTCTAAAACAGAGGTTTCCACGGAACAACATGTCTGAGGTGTCCATGATTGCACTCAGCATGCAGGCTTCAAGCTACGGAGGCCACCAACTCACAGTCCAGGAATGCTCCTCGACACTACAGGAGAGTTGGCGCTCTGGGCCCCGGCTAAATTCTGTTTCGAATTATCAGCTGCCCCCACAAGCATCGCAACGCTAGGAACTCTGCTATAGTGAATGCACCTCTGTTGTTATTGATGAGGTCCAGTTTTACGGGCCACCGCAGTACAATGTGACTCTCTGATCATAAACTGAGTATCGTACAAGACATGCAGACAATAATTATGACCATTTTAATTTCAAGTCCTTCAAAAGAAATTACGCACACGCATACAGGTGGAGAGGAACATGCCAGTGCCACAGTTCCAGCCATCCAACAACACTTCCTCAGTCCTACATGCAGTTGACACCCAAGCCAGGATCCTCTAGTGTGTAGAGCATGCAACGTTAGCAGCTCTCGCAGTATCGAGCAGCAACATCCATGCATGCTAAACAAAAAGCAAGCAAGTAGTTATATCCGATTCAGACACTGTTCTCTTGCCACTAGATTCAACACGCAGAGCGAAGTTGTATTATTTGCATGATGGTGATTGGCGTCATAAGCCCGGCAAAACCCCAGGTTGGCCAGTCGTGCTAAAAGGTCAACCGTTGGGAAATCAGGCACTTGCACTTGAAACCTTGCATACCACTTTCGCCTCTTTGCCTCCGCTGTCAGCTACAAGATGGTGAAGAATCTACAGGAACAGCAGAAAGCAACAAAGACACCAACGGCTCATAGTGGGTCTCAGTGCTCAGTGCCACATTAGAGAGGTTAAGATGCACGTTGTTTCCGACGTGACGCGCAATTTCACGTCAAATTTGGCGTAAAACTCCAAATTTCGACGTGAGCAGCAGGTCACTCGCGTTGATTTTTCGACGTGCGAGCAAATAACGCGAGCTGAACTTTCGAGTCACGTCAGAAATAACGTGCATCTTAACCTCTCTATTCATTTGTTTAGGTGTGTATGTGGTAGTAGTAGAAGTAGATTAATTTTACTAGGGGAGACCCAACAGGCGTTGCCTTTTTACTGGGAACCCTAGGTGAATTTTTGCCATGTTTACATACAGATTAAGAGACGGGGCCTGACGGCAGTCAGTGGGAAGAGCATTCCATCTGTCTGCCGCCAGGGGATGTATGTGGGTGTATTTGGGGTGTGAGTTTGGGCAGTTTCTGTGTGTCTATGTCTAAATTTCTTTTTTGGATTTGGAAGTTGGCTCACGGATGAGCCTTCAAAAATTGCAAAGCCGACTATGTTTCAAGTCGTCAATGCGGGATATTGGGAAAAGTTTTCAACTAGCAATAACCACGCCTCGGTTGGACCTCATTGGCTATGGTACTGCCACTGCGCAAAGCTGATTTCTAAACCATCATCTCCAAATGAATATACCTCAACAGGACACAGTGCCACTCATCGCAAAAGCATTCTGAAAATGACTTCAACGCTCGCCTGTCAACCTACTGTTCTTCACCTTTGAAGAATACAGCTTCAAGGCACTGCTGGCTTGTACCACACCAGCGGAACTTCCCGCAGAATATTGCCATGGCAACTGTCTGTTATCACCTTATACCAAGATATGTGACAATGCTCCCCATCCAAATCCGCAACTCAGCCTGTCATGACCACCTTCTTGAACAAGGCTTGCATGTCAGTCAGTACCTGAATGTAGTCATGCACATGCTCCTGACAAAGATCCAAGTTCTGTTTGTCCAAATGCCTTAGTATTGGCAAGAGTATATAACCCCCCAAGAGTGAGCAACTCCTGATACCCTTTCTATGGTGTACGCCGACGGCGAAAACTCACATCACGTGGTGCAGTGTCGCAGTCGTACGTTTCCAGCCCCTTTTTAGCGAGCAGCGGAATAATAATAAAGCGCTCTCTGACAGAAACTCATTGCATGCATGCAAATCCCCAGCATGATCATGGCAGATATTTGGATTGCGTGCACGCTATCCTTCGTTTGTACGTAGTACGAACGTATCTGAGACACGTGATGTGAGTTTTCGCCGTCGGAGACCCCATATGCAGAGTTCCACACTCCTGATACTCTTTGGTATTGGCTAAATTGGTAAGAGGAAAACTTCAGTCTTTTCTTTCCATTCATTTAGTGCAGGGGCTGCGCGAACGCAAACCCCCACTACCATAAATTGTGCACCCGAGTTTCCCACGTTTGGGGAAATCGCAAGCCTCAGCCCCAACGGAGTGCAATGGAGGGGCCTCATCCTGAGGGAGCCGCCGTCTTGATCACGGCGTCCCCTGTGCCAGGTAAGTATGACTTTACACTTCTTTCCTACTACAGCTAAGAACTGCTACCCACTACAGTGGCAATCATCACGACACCTCCATCAGGCTCCCACTCTCTTCTTATGCTCACGACACGAATACAGGTCAAAGCTAGGTAGCAACAGCCACTCCACCAGTCAATACCTCCCCCTGATCCTGCCATTCCCTCTCCTCTACAGCGAATTATTCGATACCATCTCCATAGCAACCCATACAATTGTCACAGTGTTAATGATTCCATTCACTTCCATCAAACGAACACAGTATAATTATACAAGTCCATTGTAAGCCTGTCCTATTGCATACACACACACACACACACACACACACACACACACACACACACACACACACACACACACACACACACACACACACACACACACACACACACACACACACACACGCGCGCGCGCAAGTCACCATCCAGCCATCAAGCTCGATGCACAATACCAATTCTGCGATGCCATGAGCATTGAGCGAAATGTTTTTCTTCATGTCGCACCAAGAGTCTTCTATGCACATACCAGCAAAATCCTGCATACCACACATAATCTAAAATGCAAGCGAGCTGAAGCATTTGAATCGCATGCTCCTGCCGTGGGAAATGTGATGAGCATCCCTAGTCGTAGAAGTTGTTGAACGTTGATCAATTCCATGCGAATCCCCAAAGCTTCCATGCGATGTTTTAATTTGCACATAAAGCGGGATTCACAGAAGCATTTTTGCGATGCGATGCGCAATGCGACGGCCGCGAAATCCCCAAATCACACCCATCCGCAGAATATCAAGCAAGGTCAACGCAAAAGTTGAGCTTGGCTCAAATTTCGCGATGCAACAAGCGATTCGGCGTGCGATTTCGACCTTTTCTGCAACAAAGTTGTACCGGCAAAGTTCAAGATTATTTTGTTTGTAGATTTCAAGACCTTAGCAAACGTGTTGCTACAGCTCTCTCTCATCCCGTACTATTTATATTTCCGGGGCCCATGGATTCGCACAACCGAAGTTCCTCCTGTGGGGCAAACTAGTTCATTGAAAACGGCACGGACAAAGCCACGGGACAGTTATACTTCATTTTGATAATTATCGAGCCCTGCTCAATGAGCAAGGACTAAAGAAAAATTCATTTGAAGACTCCTTCATTGTCCACCTCCACAGAAATCTTTAGTAAAAGGCGAAAGATTTATTCGTGGTTGAAGGTAAACCAGAGTATGAATTTCTCTAAATCCCAGACAAGCTATTTTATTACATGCTGTGCTGTAGTGCCAGTAGTTACGGAATGGGTTTGGCCCCCAGATATCCTACTAGACTGGAGAATGCAATCATACATCTTACTCACAAGTGTAGTCCGGCTTTCTAAAATAACCCAGCGTATCAAGTATTTATGTGGTCACATCCTTGCCGGCCAGCAAACTCGTCTCCATGGTTTCAGCCACATGCCATTTCATATAAGGAAACCAGCACATGCAGTCCTGCCTAAAACGAAAAACGTGTCTTAATCAGCACAGAATGATCGAAACACGGTAATTATCTGGAAACAGGAATCTTCAGGCTGAGCGGGTAAGATGTTGCCCGCTGAGTTCTGTTCTGCAAGGCTGCTTCAAATCATCCCCCGGGGAATTGACACGAAACATGCCCTTCTTCAAACCCTACGGTGTCTCCACGTGAATTCACTTTTCCCCTGGGTAGCAGCTTCACGGTCCATATGAAAACACTCCCCACTTCAGCTACAGGCGACTCCACTATAACAAACTCGGATATAGCGAATTTCGTGATACATTCTTGTAGAAGCCGACGTCCGTGCTAGGCTTCCATTCAAGTCAGGCTTCTGTTCGAACCAGGTGGTCCTACGCATGCGATCAACACCGAAGTCAGGCCTGTATTCAAAACAGGCATCTATACAAGACCGGCTTCTATGATATGCACTTTGGATTCACCAGACACAACTGCAGTTGGCACATGTGTGTCAAGCCCCGTTTTTTGCTATCCATGTGCAGAAGAAAACAATCCTTGTATCCTGGCCAAGCTATTCTGCTAGAGCTGCAGAGCTTCCACAAGTCAATCCTCGGTAGTATAGTGGTAAGTATCTCCGCCTGTCACGCGGAAGACCCGGGTTCGATTCCCGGCTGGGGAGGACATTTCTTTTTTTGTTTTTCAAAGTATAGCATAGAATACGGGAGAAGCCTCTGTCATGATATAAAACTAGATGCTATACGGTCAAAACTTGTAAGAGCAAGTTTACTCCTGTTGCTTTCCTCGCAAATGACGAAGGTGACTTCTTTCTTACTTGTAGGCGTACTTACAAGATGTTACTTGACAGAAGAGCAAGAAAGCTTATCTTTCCGTTGTCTTGCAAAGTCACAGTGCAGCCATAATAGAAACCCTTAGCAAAACATTACATGTACTTCGTAACGGTATTACCGTAAGGGAAAATACCGAGATTTCGGTTCGACCTTTAGCAAGATGCACGCTATGTTCAGTACGCTGTGCCCATGAGAATAGCAGAAGACGTTACTTCAGTAACGTCTGGCGCTAGCCAGGGTCTACACAGCTTTAATTTTGGTGTTTATTTGTTTGTTTGTGGCGGACGGACCTCCGTCTGGCGCTATCCCGTACCGTACCGTACCATCAAAGACACGAACAGCTGGTCACAATATTCAAATAGGGCTTTCAAATGCAAGATCATAACGTGAAGCAACTAGGAAGAATGTCTATTATAGGCGTATTGTGCCCCAACGGAGTGCAATGGAGGGGCCTCATCCTGAGGGAGCCGCCTTCTTGATCACGGCGTCCCCTGTGCCAGGTAAGTATGACTTTACACTTCTTTCCTACTCCAGCTAAGAACTGCTACCCACTACAGTGGCAATCATCATGACACCACTCTCGTAGTCGCATTCTCCACTTCTGCTCACCACACAAATACAGGTCAAAGCTAGCTAGCAACGGCCGCTCTGCAAGTCAGCACCTCCCCCGGATCCAGCCATTTCCCTTTCCTCTTCAACATATCAGTTGACGCCATACTATCTATCTCCATAGTAACGAACCTCTGATAACATTTCATGTTGTGTAAGTGCATGGCTTGATCCACCACCTCCTTCAAATCCCACCGTGAAGACCAGAGTAAGTATCCTACCCATCTCCTAGAGTGCATAACCCCTCAACGCCACCACTATCAGTAATAAAAGAGTAAATATTATGATCGTGTCCGTTCCCAAAGGGAATTCATGACGGCCGCTAACACCCGGTAAACCCTAGCGGCAGATGCAGCGCCTAACGGTGGGGGTGAGTGGATAAGTCTCACAACCACTGGCACAAGTGCCAAAAAAACCCATTGGCCGCATCCATGTACCCCTTGTGCCTGGTTACAAGTTCCCAGTTGACTGTGGTCCATGATACAGGTTCTTCACACTAT